CTATGTCAGCTACAACTCCGTACATTCATTTCTGATGCAGCAGAAGTTAACATATTTTTGGCGTTAAATCACAACAGAATAAATTAAAATGTTAATGTTCACTTTGCTCATTTAAGTAGGTTTCCAACAGGATATGGCGAACAAAATCCTTCCTTTCCAACCTTGAACCAACCAATGCCTGTCTTGCTCCACCATAAAATCCTTCTGGTAATTTGCTCTTACCATTGCCCTGGCTGTATTTACAATTCCTTGATCCAGTGGTACCTGCATGAATCCAGCCCTCTTGTGGCGCACCTGCCACTGCTTGTAAGTCTCTGGCCTCTCAATTCTCTCACTCCCCTCACACGCTACTATGTTCATGGCATCTTTACCATACAAGTAATTTTCGATCAGTTGCCTTTGCTGATCTTCACGAAGCATGGTAGCTTCAAACACATCGAACAAAGAAGAGTAGTGGTAAAGTGCTTCCCTGAACCGAGTGATGAAGAAGGGAGCATTGAATGTTCCATTGACAACACCATTGATGAATAGATCAGGATTTAAGCTCCTTACCAACTTCAAGAAAGTATCCCGCGGGCTGCCAGCATCAACAGTCTCATCAGGCAGCCTTCTTGACTTATAAAGACAGGAAACTACAACAAGCTCATCCTTTTCAATGTTGAAATCTTCTGGCTTTATGGTATGCCACCGCTGTGCAATGGCCTGAAACTCGAAAGGCACTCCAAATCTCTCACAGTAACCTGCTAATCTTCTACCTGTCTCTTCAACTGTCTGTGCAGGTTTGAAACCACTCTTGGGATTATCTACACCCGTAATTTTAAGCCTTGGAGGGCCAAGAGGTCTTCTTGAGAGAGTTTGAATTAGGCAGGGCCATTGGAAACCCATAAAGATGCCAAAATCAATAATGTGTATTTTCGGTGCTTTTTCAGCCAACTTTGCTATTGTCTGATTGGCTACATAATGAGTGGTCCGTTGGAAAGGGAGAGCAGAAACATATAATCTGTAGCCTCTCAAGATATCATAGGATGAAAATCGCTTCCAATCAGAAGCTTTGTATAGCTCTGAGCCTGTACCGGTCATACGTGCTTCAAGGCCATTTGCAAAATAATGTGCTATCCTCTGTACACTATCACCAAATGGCGTAGCATGCTGCCTAATTTGCTTGAGTAGCTCATTTGCAGTTCTAAGCTCAGCGCATGATACAGCTTCTGCACACTGAATGAGGAGAGTTCTAAGATCCACCACTTCTGTACTAGTCTTTTTCTTACCACGCTTTGCTCTACGCTTACTCTTGGACCCTTTTGGTTCTTCGTCCTGCTCTGAATCCTGAATGGCATCCTTAACTGCGTTATTGCTGATACAGGTTAAAATATCATTGTTTTCTTCCTTACTAATCATCAACGCGTCATCAAACTTCTCCATTTCCGAATATTCCTCATTATTAGTTGCTAGTTGTTTTGCACTCCTTTCTTCCACCTGACCAGTATTTTCTCTATGAAGATTCTTCCTTCCCCTAGATCCATAACCCTGTTCTTCCCTACTATCTCCAATACCCTCATAATTCTTTTCCTTGTATGCTCGACTAATCCCGGAATTGACTACAGAGCTCAACTCATTGACAAATAATGTGCTGACAGGAGAGTCTGCAACCCCATCCTTCAAACAATTAATGCTACTGCTAGAGCCAGATCCCTCTGAAGTTGACTCCAACACATGATGAGTATCATCAATGTGTTGAAATCCTTCTGACAGACTTTGATGGATCAGCCAGTTGGATTCGACACCGACACCATAGCAACCACTACTCCCCTGATTGCTGCAGTTTATGTTGAGATCATCTGATAACGGCCTTTGATCGGGACAAAGCGGGTATGTCTCACCTGCAAGAACATCATAGAATGACTTCTCAGTGGCTTGGAGTGCATGATAATCCTGTAAAGTAGCAGGGTTATCATCCAAATCCTCTTCCATGAGAATATCATTCATGTACTTAAGACATGCATCAGAAAAATCAGGTATCTCTGAATTGTCTTCATGAGTTTGATAGTATTGATCATATAGTGGGTCATTTACAGAGATGGGTTCTTCATATAAACCATAGTTTTGAAAAGACCCATTTCCATTGACACATCTTTCAGAGCTTGAAAAGCTTGGATACCCTTCTTCAGGAACAAAATACATTTTTTTTTTTAAACCAAAAAAATCAATACTTTTCAGAAAATCAGGGAGTTTCTAACAGACAAAAAATCAAACAGTTGGTGTGCAATGAAGTAGCGAAACTAAAATCCAAACTATCATAAAGATCAACAAGGAAAATCAAGTAAGTAGATGTTTAAATCGATAAAAGGGGGGAAATTGAGTAAAGTCAAAAGATTAACAACAAAAGATAAAGATAGAAATTTCAACAGGAATTTGAAGAAAAGTCAAACGATAGACATTTGAGGAAGTGTTGACTTTTAACTCGTAGATTCAGGTATCTAATCATGCGAAAGAAAAGTTGATGTGATTATATACATAGGATTAAACATCCTTAAGGGTGGAAATTCATGAATTCATAGTATGACATAATTTAATACAAAGTATATATTAATATTAACCAAGAAACTTCCTTGAACATGCTTTATGCTTACATAAACAAGAACAACGACTCAACATTAAGTTGACTGCTACTCCGTACGCCACTTTTGGTTGCATAACATTTTTTAATCAGGAATTTAATTTGATTGATTTAGCTAAAAGTGTGATCGATTTAGTCTTGCATTAACGATAATAAAGTGATTCTGTTATACAAATGCAGTACGAACAAAAGAGGCTAGAGATTAGGAACACAAAAGTATATTTTAGACGTGATTCGAGTTAAGTACAGTTATATTTGTATTAATCACGGTTTGAAATTGATAGAATTATTTCACTTATTTGATTTAAGTTTGTGATTTTAGGTGTTTATTGAGTTTGGAGTTACCTTTACGGTTCCTATGAAGTTCATAATATAGATGATATGAAATTGTTAATAATATATTGGTCTTTGAATCAATTACTACTTACTTCATAGAACATGCATAATACAAGTATTTATTTAACAAAATATTATACTACATTAAGCCATTGATCTATATATTAGTATGTCGATTGAATTATGATTCACCTAACCAATATTTATAGTCAAGTATCCAACACAAATAGAGAGAACTTGACATGGAACAATAGTCAGTATCAAAATTGTTATTAATTTAGGAATAGTAACACGCATCTAATTATTCAAACCTTTTTAATAACGTAATATACCACATTTCAAGTTAAATCGCCGAACTAATCTAATGTGATTATATTTCATACTAAAAAAGTTTATCGACAATAGACCATGTACGATAAACCCCAAATTTACTCAAAAAATCAAACCAATCCCTACTTGAATTTGACATGACCCCTTTGCCAAATCTTCATTGTATCTATTATTCCAATAATAAGGACATACCAATTATACCATTTCATATGAATCATCTCTTGATTGGCCAATGGCCGTCCTCGAAGTTAACGGAATAATTACCGCCGTGACCTCAAACAAGATACAGTACATGTGAAACGTCAAAATGTGCAAGATTCAAGGTTGATGTGTCGGAAACAAAATCTTAATATATGAGCCGCATAATATCTCTTAGGATCTCCATTGATTCAGATCATGTGCTCATTTGCCGTCCATTATGTACTTATCTCCAATTATAATATACCAAATATAATCATCTAGAAATGAAACGACTTCAACTTACCCACGGTATAGTTTTAAAGTATTAAAATGAGGCAAAGTGATTGTTATGGGGTGCTATTTTTTCGAAGTACAGAGGTTGTTATGAGGCACTGCACGCGCAGACACACAATACAGTATTTGCAACATTTTAGTAGGACCCTGCGATGTCAAGTTGGTGATTGGAACATCTCTTGGATTTTTTGAATATCAATACAACATTTCTGAAATAACTCATTTTCGATACTTTATAGACATATTGGTAGGTTTATTATAGTTCCAAACCAACTTTTACAACCCCAAGGGATACCCCACGCAATCACATCAATTTTTAGAAAAAAAAATCCAAAATTGGTCCGAAAGTGTTTATTATAATCTTAAGTTTTGGACAATTTTGACTTTTTTCAGACCTGAAAAGATAAGAGGTCTAGATGTTTTCCATAGACCTCAAGAGGTCATTTGAGTTGCTTGAAATGTCCACTTTGTCTTTACTTTATTAATTTAGCAGTTACGTATGCACTATATTTCATTCACAATAAGGCCACCACAGGCCTTTATGTGACCATCTAGTGGCTGTATATGGTTGCAGTTATGTATGTTTCTTACTCCGTAACAAGAATGAATTTTACTTTGGAACAAACAAAAAGGAAAAGAGAGAGCATCAACTTCTTAAAATTTTAGATTAATAAAAAAAAATTGGCTAACAAAGAAATGATTAATTTGTTTATTAACATTGACCAAAACTGCATAACTCACACCAATAATATAGCACTGACCACTCACTTGACTGAGTCTGAGACAAACGAAGAAACGTCAACAGTGACGCATTCTCATTCATCTGGCTGAGTTGACTCAACCACCTGAACAGTCAACTGCTTTGGCTTAACTCCCAAGCTTCCTTCCAGACATGGGCATCCACCACTACATTCTAGAATCTCCCCTTTATTTGAATTGAAAGTTTGTTAATCATGTTATCCTGTTGTCAAGGGTATCCTAATCATTGAAGTTTTCTTTGGGACATTAGTTTGATTTCTGTTTACAGTATCATTGACTGTAAATATTTGATGAGACTGTGAGCCTTCACAATTTGAGTGACCGTTTCAAAGGCCGAAACTAAAGTAGATGCAGCCACATTGCAAGCCATGACGCCCTTGAAAGGCACACAGAGCCTAAGCAAGCCGTGGAATAAGCACACATCAGCATGTCAGGGCACCTAAAAGGGCTAAATCAGTAGCATACTCCTTTCAGTATAGAGACATGAACAAAACAAGCACAACACATTCTCAAATTGGCATAAACTGCAACATAGTTGAAGTTTAGACTCTTCAGATTATACAACTGAAAATTTCACTGAATATCAGCAATGTCAATTGATTCTTGCAGAGTTGCAAGAAGGGCATAAATAATAAATCACAAATTTTTGGACAAGGAAAATGCTTTTTATGTATCATCCAATAAAAAGTTTCCTTGACAAACTAACTGATAAGTATACAAGGTGGTGGATAACAACAAAGTGAACAAACTTTTCTAAGTCAAATAAAAGAGATGTGACATCATTCTAAATGTCAATCCGTAAAAATGAGCTGACTAACCTCCCCTTCTCTTGCTTTGAGACTTGGGGGCACCAGTACTTTGTAGTCCAGTTTATCTCACTTTGATTACGACCTGACTAACCTCCCCTTCTCTTGCTTTGAGACTTTGGGGGCACCAGTACATTGTAGTCTAGTTTATCTCGCTTTGATTGCTTGTGAAAACTGTTCTCACTTGGAGAAGGCTGCTTGTTCCCTTGACCATCTTTCTGCAACTTCTTGGGCTTGTTTTTCTTTGACAATGTCTCAGGCTGTTTCCGTTTTAGTTCTTCATCAGCATCAATGGTGCCCTTATTCATCTCAGTACGATCTGATGTATCATTTTCCCTGTCAAGGCTTTATATGAAGGCTCACACTTTCTATGAAAAACCAAATACTTCCTCTATTTTTTATTAGATGCATCACTTTCCACATATGGAAGTTTCAATTTAGATGCATCACTTTCCCTTTTAATCAATAAATTCTCTTTATTATCTCTCTCATATCACATGGGCCCTCAATATTTTTTCCCTCTATCTCTCTCTACTCCAAAAATTACACAGGAGTCCGCAATTTCTAAAATGATGCATCTAATTAAAAAACGGAGGAAGTATGATACTTGCCTAAATTATAAGTTACTTGTCTAAAATATAACTTTCAGTCTTTAAGGTACTGGTCTAAATTATTCATTGAGAATAGAGCTGCTTTTAACACACAACACAAAAGATATTTTGGGTCTAATGGACTAACAGAGGAGTTTTTTTGGATTTAAAATTGGAGTTTCGGAGGAAGAATGTATAACAGAATACAGATAAACAACACATGTCCGGTCATTAGTTATTAACATGCAGAAACAGTAATTGATCACAGTTTAATTCCACTCTAATTTTGGATAACAAAGGGTCACACCTCTAATTTAGGTCTGTTTTCTAATGCCCAACAATACAACTACCCTTCATGAAGGTCAGGTTTCAAGTTCTTGATATGTTTCATGTTTCAAAAGGCTCAGAAGAATCCTCCTTTAGAGTTGAGACACTATCACTAAGCAATTCCCACTCTAAGACCTCTGCTGCAGTCACCTTTAAGTTCTACCAATATAATCTTTCAACAGAAATGATGGCACTAAAGTCAAAATATAACAAGGTGATTATCAACATTTTTTCTTAGTTTATCTAAATCAGTTTAGCTAAGACATTTACCAGATGTTTCTAGTTCCCTATAATTTCAGGAAGTCACTTATCTCTTTCCATGCCATATCCACAATGCAACACAGATAGCTGACAGTGAAAAAAACAATATACCTGTCCATATTTCTTCCTGTTTGAAAACTTGACGATGTTGATGCTTCTGCTTCATGACCATTAGCCGCTTCATCTTTCAGTTTCTACCAATTCAAGCTTTATAATGAGAGTAGAAGGCAGAAAACAAATACAGGAGAACAAGAGGATGATAGTTCTTGAGAAATATAAGGCCACTCAACTATTATACTCACATCAATAGTTGGATTGAAGTTCTGAAATGACATGCGACCTCTTACAGTCCCTGGATGGGGGTCTCCTTCCATAATGACCACACTGCGAGTTAAAGTGAAGTCAATGCTTCTGTATCAGCCACAAACAAAGGGCAAATCTAGATAAATGCTTTTAATCAATTCTTCGTGATCAAAACATCCAGGTCAACCAGGCTAAACTCTTAAAAATAAAAGATCACAGCCAAAATCTGTTCATCAAGCTATGATGAAAACAAAACCAAACTTCAAGTCTCAGCAGCAATCCCCTCAGCCACTAACAGCTCAACAACCACCACCACCCCCCCCCCCCCAACCCTCAAAACACTTCCCAAAATCTGTTATTCAATATTACTCCATGTATTACATATTTTACTCTTATCACATACACATATATGGTAGCCAATATGCCATCCAAATTGTTGATGGCCAAGACAAGCCACAATATTGACATGTATAGATAGCCTGAAATTAGTTCTAACCAAAAGCAATCATGGGTGGAAAATATAAAACAGCCCAAAATTAATCGTCAATCTAATTCCTTGAGGGGCAAAACTCAAAAACCCCAGTCAGAAGCCAGGAAAAAGACCCAAGCAGTAAAGGTTCTAGATCTGAATCATCTGAAAACAAGAAGTTTAGCAAGACCCAAGAATGCGGGCAACAAGAGCAATATGTAATGGCCATAGACCCAAAATATAATTGGGGTGAAACAATAACCCGCTTTGCTGGATCAAGATGCAGGAAGGGTGCAAGACAGAGCATGGAGTTCAACTTAAATCTATTCTAGACAAGACATGAAAATTATACAGCAAACACAAGGAGAGCATCAACACAAATCCCAGTCAAAAAGAAAGCACCAATCAAGTATTACAAGTAAAACGAAGAGCTATAATATCAATGCAAGATTATTCAGGAAAGATAAAAAGTAAGATGGAGTTTAGCAAAAACAGTACATGTATGCGACTCATTTTTTCAAGATTAGGGGGAAGTGTTAGAAAAAGTAATCTAGAAAATCTTCTATGCCTAGAAGTATGTATGTAAGATTGTTTTCAATACAAATGAAAAAGACTAGAGAAATCTAGCATAGGAAATGCTATAGTAAACCTAGAAAAATATGGTACAAATTAGGGGAAAAAACCGCAGGCAATGTTGGTGCATCAATACAAACAACATTCTAGTATTTTACTCACTATAAAGTCATGTACACCCACCAATATCTATGATCAAGAGTTCCATTATGGAACCTTGCTTATCCACAAAATAATCTCTCCCTCATTTTAAAACACATCATCTGTTATTCAATATACAAAACATTTCATACTTTGGTGATTTGGGCCCGACAAGCTCCTGTTCCTAGATTCTAACAGCTATACAAAAAGCGTACAGAGAGAGAAATAGGGAGGGGCACAGAGACTTAAAAATATGTCAGGAAACACGGTAAAAGTCATGTTGATATCAAAATTCAAATGTCAAAATTTAAAAAGCACAATACAGTTCTTTTTCACCTTGGGCATATAAAAATCCATGGACAGTCAGATACTAAAGGGATTTCATTGAATAACAAGAAAAAGAAACTTTGTTAAAACGGACAAGAGGCCAAAGTCTGCCTCTGCATACAGATATATGCATGTCTGGCAGACAGGTACTAGAGGTCTAGCACCAAACATAGTTAACAAAGTGCATCAGTTTAAAACAGACGAGAAAATGCAAACAAAGACCCTGAGCAAGAAAGAGGATATTAAAACAGTTAAAACTAGCTTGTATCCAAAAGTAGGTGATGACAAACACTGAAATGTTGCTATAAGCTAAGGAGAACCTGAATGATAGCCTACAGCCAGCGAGGTAGGACTATATTGCGTATGCAAGTTTACAACTTACTAAAACCGTAAAAGTCTCTTGCAGCAAGGTGATCCCTGATAAACATCTAATTTTCAGAAAAGGTGGAGGTACTAAACCCAAAACGCAAAGATGGGCATGAGTTGACCAGCTACATTCAACTTCATTATTGACAAGAGAGCTAACATTCAACTTCAACTGTACAAGAATTGAAGTGAGAAGGGTACAATTCACTAGACTTCATCACAATTTACAACAAACACCACCACATAGTATTAATACCAAGTCATTAGACAGGTTAGGGAGTTAAAATCAAGATCTCTAGATGCAATTAATTAACCACCCTTACCCATTACCTTACAACTTAACTGGTTGGACACAGTCATAGGACTTTACCAGTTCCAAGGTTTAAAAAAAAAAAAAAAAAAAGCATGTACTGTTTAACCATCTTCCACAAAACTTGAAGTTCCCAAACTTGTTTCCTACAAAACTACGGAAGTAGCTTACCCAATGAAAGTTAGGTAAGTTGCACTAACATAGTTCATCTATTGCCCAAGTTATATAGTGTTTTTGTTAACTTGTTCCACTGACTTAGAAACAGTTGTTAAAAAAATTTCCGATGGCTAAAAGCTGATAAGTAAACTTACAATTTAACACATCAGAAATTCACCCTTGTCGACTCAATGCCTAAAAATATTATCCTATGGAGCAACTTCTCTCGACAAAGTCATTGCTGATATGGCCATAAAGATCCAATAGACTTTAGTACTTTACCTAAGATTAAGTGGCCTCTCCCCAATCAACCCTACTTCCAGCATTCTTCTCTTTCAACAGAGGCAGCATTGCTAACCATAACAAGTCCACAAAAAGCCTCCTCCAAAACACACCATGGTGGCAGAACCAACGATTAAATCTAACTGATTCTTTAGGATTGTTCTAAAATTTACACTTAATATACACATGCAGTCATAACGAAAACACATTTCATCAGCTGAAAAATAAAACACTGTTGAAAGTTATAATGAAATTAAATAAAACACCCCTACCATTTTCTACTAACATTACTAGGGAAATTAAATTTCCCATCCGGCTTGGTTTCTTCCACTTCCTTCTTAGGTTTCTCCTCTTTCTGAGCTCCCCTTTGCATAAACTTTTACAAAGCAATTACCCAAGATAACCACACAAATTAGTAACCCAAAAAATATTAGAAAATTTAATAAGTTCAATTTATAACACCAATACAATAAAATTCAAGACCTAATCTTTACACCAAATCTCAACTGAAAACACTATAATAAGACATTCCCAGATCAAATCAAGAAAAAACCCAGATCAAATCTCAAAGTGATATAGCAAATTTACAAACATAAACACATAATTACAAGAATTCTCAATAAAATTTTACCTTCAAGTTCTTCAAAGTAGCCGACATCTCCCTTTTTGCCATACTTTCTCTCTCCTAAAGATGCAATCTTTCTCCCAAAACCTCTAATTTCTCCGGTTTACAATCAGGGTTTTGGGTTTTGGGATTGCAGAACCAAAAATAAGGGTTTGGTTGCCCAAAAAACCTAGAGGCAAAAACACTTCAAAGTTTCTATATTTACTAAATTTGGTCCCTTTTATCTTCTGTTATGCGGCTTATTTTAAGAAAGCTGGAAACACGATATTATTGGTTGATTTGGAATCCCTTGATCACAATATAAAATCAACGGTTATAAAAGATATTCATACTAATTCCCTATTTTAGGAAACACAGACAATAAAATTCTGAGAAACTATAAAATCCTTAACACCCTTATTTTCTCTCTCCACCTCTCATATAAAGGGATCTCTACTTCAAAATTTTCTTTTCACCGTCTTCTTCATCTTCATTATAATTAATTTAAAAGAAATTTCTGGGTAATTTTTTTTTTTTTTTTATATATAATTCCCTCGTCAATTCGTCATAATCTTAATTTTTGTGGGGTACTTTTTTTTTTCTTGTTTATTAGTTCGTCAAGATAAATTATGATTGATTATTGGAAATTTTGATTCAAAATATTGAACTTTATTGTAACTGTTTTTTTTTTTTTTTTTTTTTTTTTTTGAAATCAACTCATCTGATTTAAGTTTCCTGTGTTTTTGACAGGAATTAATTGGTGCTGATTTTGTGAATCTCGGAAATTATGGTATGTGAAGGTTTAAGGGTTGATGATTGATTGTTCTTGTTGCTTAATTTTAATTGTTTTATGTTGCGAAAATTAATGATTTTTTTGTTGGATTGGTTGTTTAATTGGAGTTAAAGAATGAATTTACATGTAATAAATGTACTGAAATTAGAGTTATGTTGTTGTAGTAATCGGATATGATCTGTGTAATCTGGAAATCAGTTTTTGAAGCACTGACACTAGATGGTTGGTGACAAATTAAGTAAATCAATGACAAATTGTAGTTAGAATGCTTGAGATTTTACCGTTAATGACGGGTTTGTTTCGATTGTTGCAGTCTTATAATGAAGATTATGGTCGACACAATTCGACATTTACACAAAGTTACCGATGTTACCCTGCCTCTTTTATTGATAAGGTTTGTCAAATGAGCAGAATTGCATTTTTGTAACTTCTCTTGTTGATGAAACTCTAGTCATACATGTAATAAATCAGCCTTGTTATATGATTCGTGATGTCGCTTTGACCCTCCTTAAGCTGTTATGTGTTCTAAATTGGTGAATATGGTTAAATTGACCCTTAATTAGACCAAAGATTATTGAATACCCTTATTTTCTTTCCCCTTTTACTTTCTTGTATCTAGTAATTACTTTGAATTAGTTCACTTGTACATTTATTGCGGTCAGCAATGCTTTTCCTATATCATGATCAACTCATACAAGTCTTCTTTTTTTGCAGCCGCAACTGGAGAAGGGCGATAAGAGTATGTATATACATGACAGATTTCATGACTTGCACATTTTGTTTATTTACTTAGATGAGATAACATAGTTGTGACTTTTGCTGCATTTCTAGTTGATTTTTATGAAAATTTATTGTGTACTTACGACCTTCTCTACTGCAGTCATAATGCCTCCATCAGCTCTTGATCGACTTGGTAAAAACTATTTTCAAGTACTTGCCTTTATAATTGTGTACAAGATGTGCTTTCTGCTTGAAATAACATATGTTGTTCTTTAGCTTTTCTGCACATCGAGTATCCAATGTTGTTCGAGTTGAGCAATCCATCTGCTGATCGTGTCACTCATTGTGGGGTGCTGGAATTTGTAGCTGATGAAGGCCTAATTTATCTTCCATACTGGGTAATTCTTGCTTGATCTTGTTGACTTGGGCATGAAAGACAAATCAGGGGGGATTGAGAGCTATAGAACAGTCTAATACTGAGTGTTGTTATTACATAGAGTGTTTTATTGAACTTAGCATTGAATGCCTTCTTTCCTTGCACCAGATGATGCAGAATATGCTTCTCCAGGAGGGAGACATTGTGCAAGTTAAGAATGCTAGTCTATCGAAGGGAAAATTTGTAAAACTCCAACCTCACACCAAGGACTTCCTTGATATATCCAACCCCAAAGTCGTGTAAGCTGCTAGCCTGAGCTCAATAGTTGATTGGAAGACAAGCTATGGATCAGTTTGTCAGTGGTTGTTTATTTGTCTGCTTGCAGCTTAGAGACTAGTTTGAGGAGCTTCTCATGTTTAACCACAGGAGACACAATCGTGGTTGATTATAACAACAAAAGATTTTACATTGATGTAGTGGAGACCAAACCCTCTTCAGCTGTCAGTATTATCGAGACTGACTGTGAGGTTGACTTTGCACCACCCCTTGATTATAAAGAACCTGAGAAGCCATCACGTCCAACACCAACAAAAAGATCAAGGCCAGAAGGTTAATTCCTGTTCGTATGGACACTTCCTTGAAAAGTTTTCTTTTTGGGGTATTCATGTCTACTGTCTAGTAACAAATTGTATAAAATTTCTGTAGTTGAAGAAGAGCCAGATAAGAAAATTGCCAAATTTAACCCATTCACGGGACTGGGGAGACGCTTGAATGGAAAACCTTCAACAACTACTGATGAAACAGCTGAAAATCCAGAGTCAAGTACAACTAAAGCAACAGAAACCCCTGCTTCTACCCAGTGCAACAGGAATGAAACACCATCGAGCTCCACTAGTTCTACTCGAAGTTGTGGGAAGCTTGTTTTTGGTTCAAGGTCAGACCAACCTGCAAATGGGACGCCAAAAGTACGTATATATTCTTTGGGCTATCTTGTTTCCATTGTATGTATCATCTTTGCTTTGTTCTGTTTTGTGATTCTTTTGGCTGATCCAAATGCATTTTCTGTTTTTTAGAGCAATCAGAATGTGAAAAAGGAAGAGCCACCTGTAAAAGCAGAAGAACCAAAGTTCCAAGCATTCACAGGGAAGAAATATTCACTGAAAGGCTAAGCTTGGAAAGAGGAATTATAATTCAGTGATGAGCATGAAGCCCCCAACTTACTGATAGTTTGACTCCACCTCTTTTGTTATAATTTGGATAGATTCTAAGAAATTGATCATAACCGATAATTTACATATGATAGGTTTGTAACCATGTTGTTTGAATGACTGTAAAAAAATCATAATTGGTTAGAGCGCTTGGCATACAGCAATTCATAACTTTAATTTCCCGTATCTCTGTTAATTTTTTTGGCTACAGCCTGCAACACCAAAGCCATGACTTGATGAGTCTACAGTATACACTACCGAGATAGTGCCAATGCATGTTTCTATCAATATACTTGCCGTCTCTGTTAATTGCAGGCTGTTTTCCCCAGCCTAGAGATGTTTCTCTGACATTTCCCATCCTTCACCAGAAACACTACTTCCCAGTAGTCGTCTCACCTTCAAAAATCATCTTGACCGCAGTATTACAACTCTATGGCTAGCAACCGCTTTCCCTGCAACTTCTAGATAAATGGTTAATTAAACATTGAATTGTTGTATGAAAACTAGTTGATCAAAGATCCAACATAAGGAAGAAGGGCAAGTGTGGCTTGTAAACTTAATACAAAAGCTGAAAAGTTGAGCAAGGATCAACTTTTTCCCAAGTACTTACTGTAAACTGATCATAAGTTGATAATAGTCAACCTAAGTAGGTAAAGAACTAATGGATGTTACCATCTCCAACTTTCTTACTCCGTATGAGATATGACAGTGACAATTATATAAGCGCCTAAGAATCCAATACCAAGGAAAGTGGAAGTACAGAATATGTCAACCAAATCTCCTCAGCTATGTCTAAACTATTCAAGACAAACCAAGTAAAGGTCATTCATTCAAGAATGTTCCATAACTGAATTCCAACCTTACACACAGCACATCGAAAATTCAACTTCCTAAATCATGGTAGCTGTAAAATGTTTCCTACCACTAAAAATGTCAAGTCGCTATCATCAATCTTTACCGTCTGTGTATGATGATGGTCTAACCATGAGCCATTTTTCGTTGAGACTTTTATATGAAGCACAAATTATGTGCAACTTCGACCTTACTAACATAAACTTCATAGAATGGAAAGTTGCAATATAAGTCGCTAAACTCTTGAATTTGAAAGTGAAGCGATACTAAATTACTATGATTGATGTGCAGATCAGATAAGAAGAGCTATGACATAGAATGAGATACAATATGAGAGAACTTTCATTCTAATAACAAGTAATACATTGAGCCAAAAGGCAATAGTAGGTTTATATTGACACCAAATTCAAAGGCTACTCTACCTCCGCATAATTATATTCTTTTAGTTATACAATAAGACATTGCAGTTAGTAAAATCAGAAAGAAGGGAGATAATCTAGTTTATCTTTGATTCTAAAAGTTAAATTAAGCCTCCACAGCAATCTTCTGTGGGTAACTAACATTCTCCAATCTATCTTCAGCTACTAACAGCTCTGGGAATGCCTCTTTGATGTTGTGTATACTTTCTAAGGCATAATCTGCTCCTACAGATTTTTCAGATTTTCCAACCTGCGTTTGAAAAGAGCGAAAAGAAATTAGCTAAACATCAAACAAGCATTAGCTTCATCACATTTGCCAAATTCGGATGAAAAATCAAGCTTACCAAAACAGTATGAAGACCCAAATTTTTACCAGCACTAATATTGCGAACACTGTCATCAAAGAACAACTGTAATACATGCAACAATATCACTATGTTAATCCATGCAAAAAACAGCTCAACTTAAAAAAAAATTGCATACTGTAAGATCGAACACCAGATGAAAGTACAAACTTACTGTTCTTTGAGGGTCAATTTCTGCTATCTTAAAGGATTGTTCAAATGCTGTTTCAAAGGGCTTACAGACAACTGGTGTTGGTGGAAGAGTTACACCAGAACTAGGCTGATATTCTAAGATGTCGAAAATTTCAGGGTTGGATACCGAACTCTGCAAGTCTGAATCTCCAACAACAGGAGAATTCTCTTCAACTGCACTTAAAGCCACAGGCACTTTACCCTTGTCAGTAGGATTAAGTGTCTCAAAACAGATAATCTTTTCGAAACAATCCTCTAAACCTAGCCTACGTAGAACCTCCGCAGCATGACGCTCATCAGAATTAGTGAGAATCTGTGCACACCACCATAAGTTAGAACATCTAAACATCTATATAAACACTTCATATTCCTAATTCTTCAGCTCATTAGAAAAAGCAAAGGAAATTACCAGTTTGCGAATAGGGAGACTGAGTAATAGATTCCTCAAAACTGGATCAGGTTTCAGCAGATCATAAGGTAACTTCCCATGAACCAAACTGCAAACCAAAAAAGTAAATCAGACTGATATTCTGTTTCAGATAATCAAGCTGTCCCTCAAAAAGTCTCAAAACAATGTCATCTATTACAATGATAGTGAATTAGTAAAGTTAAACCTGTGGTAGTGATCATAGTCAAAGTTATATCCGACTGCCTGGTGACAAGAAAAGTTTCAAATTAACGCGATCATTATACAAATTTACCCGAAAATACTAAAAAATTAAACCAACAAAACTTCAAAGAGAGGATTGAAATCATACCCTAAGACCAGCCATTGTAGTTCCATAATACTTGTACAGAACATAGCACATGTCAGGAACTTTACTCTCTTCTATTCCAAGCTGATGCATCATGTAATCTAAAAATATTACCAATAATATTAAAATTTTGTCAAATTCAATACTAATTAAAAAAAAGGGAATGACAATTAGAAAAATAATTCAAGAATAAAGTACCTTGGATATTTTTGGAACAATGACCAGCAATCCCAGAACTTAGGGGATAGAGGGTATCATCAAGATCTGAAAATCAAACAGTATTTAAATTTTCATTCTTACTTCAGTGAAAATCAAATTAAAAGGTTAAATGAAAAAAATGATTTACCAAATAAAAGGCAGTCATATTTGGCAGGCTGGTTTCTGTGCTCTAATTCGAATTCCATTTTTAACAAAAATCTGCATTCAAACCAAATTTATCCAGAATCAACTATCATTCCCCAAGAAAAATAGTGTCTTTTCTCATAAAAAAATCTACACAAAATGGCAGCAAAAAGGTTTCTTTAAAAGATCTTCAAAAAAACAAACTTAGTAAACGATAGGTTTTGTATACAAGGAGTGCATCGTATTCAAATAATATAAGAATTCACCACACGCGATACTGACATTTTTCCGTATGATTAAGGGTGATTAAGCATTTTGTATGGTGTATACTCCAGGTTTTTTTTTAGAAAAAAAATTAAATAAAAAACTTTAGACGCACACGAAAAGTCCCAATAACAAAACTTTCCTAGATCAAACATACATAAATCAAAAAAAAAATTAATACTTTTCATCAAATGACTATCAAAAAGAAAACCCAATAAACCAAAAAAAAAAAAAAAAAAAAAAAAAAAAAACCCATATCACAAATTTGATAAAATAAATAGTACAATACCAAACCAACATCATTGATCTTCATAGCAATTTGACAACAATAAATCAAAAAAAAAAAATTAACAAAAAGAAATAAATAAAGGGAATTAATTCAAAGAATGAAAAAGGCACATACCAGATCTGAAATGTCGGCAATGAAAAAGCAAGGAAGAAGAGAGAGAATTTAGAGATAATAAAAGAAGGAAAGCAGAAATTGAATGCCTTGAAAATAAGGGGTTTAAATAGAGAAAATCAGAGAAATAGGAAAAATGGGGGTTTAGCCGTTAAACGTAAGAAAAGTTTCATGATATAAATTTTTGTTCCCTCCTATTTTTATTTTATTTTAATTTGGGTATCAATACCGAAAAAATAAAAGAGAAATCATCAAATGGGTTATTTACATGTGTCATAGTCAAAGAATGGGTACCTTACACGTGTATTGTGTATGGTTGAGATTTTATTCAGATTTGGATTTGATGACTGATCTCTCGTGCATGGATGAGTGTATTTTTATTATTAATTAAAAAAATGGTGGATTTATTAAAGTTTTTGATTATGAAGAATTGATAAATCAAATTGTGTAGTACGGAAATTCACATGGAAGGTTTGGACGGTGAATTTAATTGTCTAAAGTATCAAGTTAACATGTAAATATAATATAAAACGAGTTTTAAGTAGTGTTATAAAAATATTAGATTTGATTCCCGACTTTTTACAATGTCTTGTTCTTGTTAAATTCATCATAAGCTTTTTTATTGTCTTGGAATTCTTGTATCTCAAGCAAAAAGATAATAAAGTACAGTACATTTTATCTAGAAATAATAATTTCTTATTCACATTTGTTTTCACTAGTTGTTGCATTGCGGACGCCCTCTAATTTGGTAAAATTAAACAGAAAGTATAAAATGTGTAATTTTTTATCATTAGAGCATTATTTAATGTATTTGTAAGTTTAAGAAGGCTAGGCGAAACTGTTTTAAAATAATAGTGTTGGTGTGTTTAATGTAGTGTGCATTTACCATTTTCAATATTTGCCAAAATTATTGACGGGCTAGTTAAGCATGATAAAGTCTCGCAATGACAATACATATAATACATTTGTTTAGTGTAAATTATCAAAAGAGAAAGTGGAATAGTCAGCAAAATTTATCAAGATTCGAAATTTGGTAAAATACTGTCATTCGTAAATGAAGGAAAGATGTTGATCAGGTGGCCAAAATTGGAATCATTAGATCGACTTCGACTTACATAATACAATATTACTCGAAGATTTAATGTTTTGGGTTTATACTAACACATTGTTGTTTTTTTTTTTTTTTGTATTGGCTCATTCCAATGCATACAATGAAACAAGTATTAAGTAACTAATAATTTGAAGAAAAAAAAAACCAACAAAAAGTCTCGTGTTTGTTCTTTTTTCAATAGTGTGCTGTCACGAGACGAGCGCAAATTGCCCGTGCGACGCCTGAATCCTTGAGGCTTGATCCATGCCGGCCTTCCCCAGATGCGCAACAAGCTACTAATAAGCAATACGCAATGACACTAACCTACACCAATACACCATGAATACATGCATAAGTAAGGCATTGGGGTTTGACCTGCAATTCTATTTAAAAAAAAAAACACAAACCACATCAAAAAATGTCCAAGTCCCATTTAATCGAAGGGCATAAGCATATAAGAGAATAACAACGAACTAACTTGCATTTTTGTCACATTTAATCAATATTTTCAACTGCAAATTCCACTAAATTTCATGTATTATAAGATCACACACTTGCATCCCGATAATCAAATCAAATCAACAAAAGTCAAAACCAACCAAATCTCCCTGATCCAACCAATTCAAATTGAATGAGCACAATCAAAACCTAAAAACCAAAGTAAATCAACTGCAATAAGAATTATATCTGACGAAAACCCTGACATTTATTCCCCATATGCTCAAATTTAGTATAGATCAGCACAGTTGCACCACTAAGGCAATTAAATTGATACTTATATTTGCTAGAAAATATCAGATATTTAAAGCAATAATTGTATGCCTTATATAATGTTTAATACTTATGACCAATATTCCTTTTAAAAAAAAAAAAAAAAAAAAAAAAAAAAAAAAAAAAGAGACTAATATAAAATTGATATGAAGATTTCTGTATTTCAAGCACTCAAACATTCCCCATAAGTTGACATATCAAATTCCTACAAGAGCCCATAACAGATTATTCTCTTTATAGGCATTCTAGTCTTCATAATAATCAAAAGAAAGATAAGTATCACCTCTCTAACCCCAAAGAAAAGGCATGCATGGTAAGTACATCAGATTTGAATTGAAAGAAATGGGGGTGATTAGAAGCATTTTAAGAAGATTGTTTGCAGATATTCGCTTGGAATACAGATTAAAATAAGTAAATAACTGGAACGTTTAATTCATTGCAATAGAAGGAATTTGTAAATTACCCTCTGAAGTTTTCTTGTTTGAAAATGAGCGTCCTGGAGACAGAACTCTAATTTCAGGACTCGCTTCTTCAGCTCTTGATCAGAACTCTAATTTCATCATCCTTTGCTGACAAATTCTCAAAATTCTTGGGAAAACCTCATCTAATATTTTCCTCAGCTCGCAGTCCTTGTTAAAGCCCGATTTGGCATGGCTTCCATGATATCATGCTCAACTCTCAGGACTTCGTCCTTCAATTGCTTCTGTGAAGACTCCCTCACGTGAAGCTGAGTTGGTAAGCCAATATATAACTTGTAATGCAGTAAAGAAAATACTTACCAAGTGTACGATTAGCTATGACCACCTTAGCTCCTTTAGCTTTTCCACCATAGGCAAGTGCCTTTCCTGCACCACCAGCTCCAATAACAACAAAAACTTTACCATCCAAGGGTGATCTTGCAAAAGGAACAATGTTTTATTATATGATAGTGTGATGAAAGAATTCAAGGGGATTGATAAAATGTAATTGATTAACGAACCTTGCAATCTTTCTTCAATAGCTCCAACGTAATCAGAATTATAACCTACCATTTTCCTAGACTGCTTCAATTGCCTAAAGAATTTGGGAAAATTTAGTTTCATTCAATAAACCATTATTTCGTGCATTTTTCTAACAAGCATGGAGTGTGAAAGACAACAGACTGTGGTTCTGTTCTGCTCGCCTATTTTGACTTACTTCAACTCTAATAAGTTCCAATTTGCTCTAATAAGAAAACGGCTAATAAATTCAGATTAGTTGTGATAAAATAAGATGAAGGCTAATAAGTTCAGATAAGATAAGGGTTAACAAGTTTTAATAAGGTCTCATAACACCTTATATAATGTCATATAAGATAAGAGTAAATAAAAAAAACGGATCCATTAATTCAAATAAAATAATACTTCGTATAAGATAAGGGTTAATTAGTTCAGATTAAATAAGTTAAGGACTAATAAGATAAGATAAAATGAGAGAAATTCAGGTGGAGATAACACTGCCTACACCAAATCAGATTTTGAAATGATGAATCTGTGTATTCCCTCACCTATACTTACCCTCCATAGAATACAAAGTTAGTAGATCATAAAATTAGCCAGACAGTTGCACATTGATAATCATGACCGTGGAAATTATAGTATGAACAGAGCTCATTCACAAAATCAAAGCAAAGAGGGTTTTTATATCTTAGCTATGGGATCAACCTACTCCAAGTGCAGCCATCTTATGAGGTAGTGTGACACTGCACAATATGCATCATCGGATGAAAATGTAGTGTATTATGAAATAGCAATAGAACTCTATTTATTTGTTATCTAGGAAATGTAATGATACCTTAAATATGCCATTTCTAATTGCAAAAGGATGACATAAAATCACAAGTTAATAAAACGAATAAGTACGATATAAAGGTACATGCGCATGATAACACAGCTCAACTCCATGTATATCTAAATAACAGCAAGACATGGCACAAATGCCATAACATAACTATCTGCTTTTTTTGTTCCTCAAACTTTGACAACCAAGAAAAAGGAGATTGATCAGCTTCATCATGTGAAGTGGATGTTGCTTCACCAGCCTCTAGATCCAGCACCTAGTTACCAACAAACGGATAACAGCGGATATGTGAGACTTTGAGGACAAAGCTTACAAGATATTCAGCATGTTCATATTTCACGGGCATAAGCCTACAAGCTGCATATTAAAGGATAGAGCGATGTAAGATCACTCTAAACGACCGGCTACAGTAAAAGTTTACAGTAATGGGGCAAAGCTGGAAAAGGAAAAGGAAAAGCTGCTCACACATAACGACAGAAATGAAATTTCATGGCAAGGGCAAAAACGGAAATTTACTGTTGTTAAGCTACAGTAAAAGATTGCATATTTTAGTAAGGGTTTTAGATTCAAGAATATTAGATTTGATTCCTTGAATGGAGTTGATTCTCGCAACAAAGTTCACAAAGGTAGACTACTATTTTCTGAAAACTCAGATGAATTTGTTTGAATAAGAAATTATTGTTAACCCTTCATCAATGGAAAATTATAATCTTCCTTGTCAATAAAACTTGATAGTATGCTGAAACCTGTTTTAAATTCTACCGAAACCTGTTTTAAATTTGGCTATTGCACGAGAAACCCCAGAAACAAAAACATAGACTATTCAATGATTCAATTCATTTTATTAGAGCAAAGAAATTCCGAGCACAAAAATACGCATCTCACGCCCCTGTAAGACACACCAGGTATTATATCAAAGACAATAATCTACACGGTCAGGGCAACCATTATTTGTCTTTCTATCCGATAACATGAAGAAAGCAAGAATGGTGAAGAAGGTCAGCAGCAAACACCAAATTTATCTCATTGAAGAAATAAGATATCTAAGAGTGTACAATGCGAAAAATTTCATTATACACCTTTTCAACGAACAAGAGAAATATAACCCATATACAACACAAAAGAAAGCGTTTCTAAATACTATGTGGGGACCACATCTGGTATAAGAGGCGAAGATCCCTCATCCTCTGACGTCCGTTTCTCAGTTTCCTGGCTAGTTTTGTCACTTTCGTCCTGGAAACCTTGTTTGAACCTATCATAGTTTGTGAGCTCCGCGGACTTGAAAGGACGTTCACCTAAAACTTTAAGCAAGTCCTCTTGATGGAGGACTTCTTTTTCAAGCAACAGTTCAGCAATTTTAGCGACAGACTCCTTGTGTTCCTCGATCAATTCAACAGTTCGCTTGTATGCCTTGGTAACCCACTCTCTGACCTCTTCGTCGATGATTGCACCAGTCTTGTTACTGTAGGGCTTTGACATTTCAAAGCCATCCTCCTTTTGGGGGAACGAGAGAAGACCCACTTTGTCACTGAAACCATAGACTGCAACTTGGGCATATGTCATTTTGGTCACCTTTTCCAAGTCATTCTGAGCTCCCGTCGATATTTTACCAATCAGAACCTAGCAAACCAGAATTATAAAAATTCATGTCAAATACCCAGCAAAATGTTTTCATACCTACATTAGCTCAATTCCTTGTAACCAGGAGATTTAAATCAAATTCAGCTATCATCGTAACCCCTTCGACAAAAATTGATAGTCACATATAAAAGTAGAGTACTATTGAAGTTTAGAAATAGTTGTCATCTTTCCTAATACAGTATTTTTAAATTATAGCCACAAAATTTAAAAGATAAGGAGCGGATAAAAAAAGACAACGTATTTCAAAAGTACTCTGTAATTCAATTTAATCTGCCAATATCTATCGTATTAGGGGTATCCAAGTAGGGACAATGTGACAATGAATTCCAGATACAGGAAGTATAATTGTACTAAGGGGGTGTTTGGTTCATCAAATTGTAATGGATTGGTATGGAATCTCATACTAGACAGGTATGGATTCTAAAGCCCATACTACTCCAAAGTTGTTTGGTTTTATTGTTGGAATGCATTCTATACTTCATTAATAGGATGGATTGTGAATCTTAGGGGGAGAGGTGGGTATGAGATTCCATAGGTATGGGGGGGAGTTAGAACCCCTTGGGTATGAGATTCCATTACTAAAAAACTGAACCAAACAAAAAAGTTGATGGAATGGATCTAACTCCATTCCAAATGATCCAACCAAATGTAATTTAGCACAAGGGAAAGAGGTGCAAGTACCTGTTCAGCTGCTCGGCCACCCAGGGTCATGCAAGTCATGTCAAAAAGCTGCTCTTTGGTCATAAGAAGATTTTCATTTGGAACATATTGTGCAAATCCTAAAGCAGCTGTTCCACGGGGAACTATTGTGACTTTCAACAACGGCTCTGCGTGTTCTAGGAACCACCCAGCAACAGCATGACCTGATTCATGGTAAGCAACAGTCCGTCGTTCAAGCTTGCTTATTACCTGCACAGCCCAACAAAAAAAAGATTAGGGATTCCCTCTCTTCTGAAGTAAGCAAAGCTGCAATTCAGATAAACTCGAACTTTACCCTGTTTTTCTTCTCTAGGCCACCAATAACTCTATCTATAGCTGATTCAAAATGATCCATAGTAACCACTGTCTTCTCGTTCCTTGCAGCAATCAATGCAGCTTCATTAACAACATTTGCTATGTCTGCTCCAGCAAAGCCAGGTGTAAGTGCTGCAAGCCTTTGTGAGTAGTATGAAGGTTCATGATCAAGTTTAACCTTTTGCAAGTAAATCTGAAAGATTTGTTCCCGGCCTTTAATATCAGGTTTGTCAATGGAGATCTGGCGATCAAATCGACCAGGTCTCAACAAAGCTTTATCCAATATATCTGGCCTATTTGTTCCAGCAAGAACCACCACTCCAGTGGTAGTTCCAAAACCATCCATCTCAACAAGCAACTGATTGAGAGTGCTTTCTCGCTCATCATTAGAACCAGAAAACCCTCCACGTCCTCTAGCCCGGCCAATAGCATCAATCTCATCAATGAAAATAATACTAGGTGCACATTGTCTTGCTTCCTGGAATAGGTTTCTTACCCTGGATGGTCCAACACCAACAAACATCTCCATAAAATCTGAACCAGATATGGAAAGAAAGGGTACACCGGATTCCCCAGCAGTTGCCTTAGCTAGAAGTGTCTTTCCTGTCCCTGGTGGGCCAACCAAGAGAGCACCTTTAGGAATTTTTGCACCCAAATCTTCATACTTCTTCGGATTCTGAAGGAAGTGCACAAACTCCATGATTTCTTGCTTTGCCTCATCACAACCAGCAACATCCTTGAAGTACACCTGAACAATGGCTAGTAACTTGTAAGCGTTGAAAAAAAATGCCAAAGTGTAGAATATTAAAAAACTTCAGTCACAGGCCATGCAGCTTCCCAGTCAGTTGGGATAGTGTTCATATAATTAACAATCATACATCCAAATTCAAATTTCAAAATAAATAAATAAATAAATAAATAAGAATCTAACCTTATTCTTGGCATTCTTATCCACTTTTGTAATTTGGGCTTTTCCAATATTAAAAATTCCACGAGCTCCTCTTCCACCAGTGCCACCAACACCTAGTCCGCCTTGCATCCTCCTACCCATGAATAAAAGTGATCCGAGAATTAAAAGTGTAGGCGCAAATCTCATCAATTCCTGATACCAGACCATTTCATTCGTATACGTAACAGGCACATAATCATGGGGATCAATCCCCAAGGCCTCCTGGGCTTCCTCCAACTTTTCTTCAAAGTTTTCAACACTTCCAATGGTGAAATAGTACTTGTACTGGCCTGACTGACCTCTTGAAGGTGAACCACTGGTAGGCCCTTGTACTTCATCATTGCTTGTCTGATTCCGTGGTGAGCTCCTCACATAAACTTTGGCGACTGATTTATTGGTGACAACTATATGATCAACTAGACCAGGTTCCAGAACCTTATTTTTGAATTCTTGGAAACTAATCTGCAAGAAATAAACCAGAACAGCCATCACACAAAAGTAAGCTGAGAGTATAGACCACTTAATAAAAGCATACACAGAGGTGGGGACATAACAATATATAACATAAATCAGGTGAAAAGCCATCCATTAAATAGCAGAATTTTAATCAACCAGTCTCAGCAATAAGCACATAACAGGACAAATAAGCAGCATAGAATACATTTTATTAAGTAATACAAAATAAACAATATCATAAAATCAACAGTTAGGATATTGACAAAACTAACGCTTTCTTCAAGAAATTGCGACATGTAAAAGGTTCTATATAAAGATAGAGTAGAAGAAACACCCAAAATGACTGAAAAATATCCAAAGCACGCTGAATAACACTCTGTAATCTGTACCAGAACTGGTGCCGAAAGAGATCAGTGCTCACACCAAATTGATCAGGGATAATAAATAAATAAATAAACAATGAATAAAAGAAGAAAATCACAAAAGATAGATCAAGCAGAAGGTCTTGACTCCGGAAACTAAATCAAAGAGCACTCTGAAAATGTAACTAGAAAACCCTTCTACTCCCAAACAAGTCAACGACTAATATTCGCGCCTTTCAGTTCCCCATCTTCTTCATAAGCCAAATCCAGGTGTACAGCAACTATAATATTGACAGAAATAACTCTACAAAGTTGCAACTCTTGCAAGAGTACACCATACACTATTCTAACAAACTGTCACCTTTCAACAACAACGATTTGTACATATATGTAAGTATTTAGGATGAAAAGAAATGCAATACTGCATAGTCTGACAATAGTTCCATCTTTATCAAAAGAACACTATGATAGTTTGAGCACTTGCAAAACATTAATGTTTTTCTGACATGTAGTCCTACTAATTGCCTAAATGGCCCAGCCATAAGGGTTAAAAAAAAAAAGTATTAACGATGATATTCTGGCCTTGGTATCGCATAATCCGCACAAAAGGGTCTAAAGTGAATTTGTTAGGGGTTGAAGATTATAAGTTTAAAATCTATATACAGATGGCGACATGTCGTAATTTATCTGAGTCATTTCCTAAAAAAAAAAAAAAAAAAAAAAAAAAGGGTTGCAGTTCTAGCTCTGAACTGCAAAATTGTTTTAGATCCAACAAAAAGCTAAAAGAATGGCTGCTCTATACGACCATATGCAAGATACTGCGAAAACAAAGTCAATAATATTTCTTACCTGCTGCTGCTCACGAGGACCAAAAGAGAATGTTGAGAGGAAAAGCCCGAGCATCAAAAGAGGAGTGAGCAAATTCTGAAACTGCTTCATAAATGCTTCTTGAAAATTTCCTTGATCATCAGTGTTTGAGTTTGATTCCTCTGAAAATTTGAAAAAACAGAGACTTCAAATTAGAATGGATTGAAAATTGATAGAAATTATATGATTATATGTGTCACAAATTTAGGATATATTTTGTATCCTTATCGTACTAGGTTTCCTAACGTGATAAACTTAGGACTAGTCTTCTAAATGCTATATCAATGGTACATACTCCAATTTGAGGAGTTTTCAGAAATCTAACATGGTATCACATCTTAAGCTTATCCTATTACAACTTCCCATTGTTTCCACTTTGACACATCACCTCCACCGGTCAACAAAGGCCATCAAAACCCTGCCTAAAATTTTATGGAGTCACTATACCTAGCAAGCTACGTAATTTTAATTCTATGCGCCTACTAGCAAACAAAAACCACCATCACCATAGCCTTTATCAACTCCACTTCACTGCCTGCAAGTTGCAGACACTAAAATTTTGTGGAGTGAGATAACAGATAAGAGTTAAATCAGCAGTCACAATGGTTATTCATTATAGAGCATAATCTTCACCCATAGTCGTCATAGTTCCTTAAGTCTAATGTTTCAATCTAAAGATTCCTGTTCCCTTTATACATACAAGATTATCTACAAGGTTTCCATTTAATAGATCAGCCTATCTAACAGCATCAGGTAACCAACTCATCCACATCCCTAACAGGAGCCAGATTATCACATAATCACCTGGTTTCTCTCTTCTACTTTTTTTTTTTTTTTATTAGCAAGCTTTTCAGACTACAGCCATCTGATCTTTGATTCAGCCCAATGATTCAGTTGATAGAGGTAGGGGATGAAAAATCCATTGTAAACTGCTTTCACAGGAACCAGATGGTATACAACATAGTCGGCAAAACCTAAGATGGACTGCCAACAAACTGAAAGTAGATGAAATCTGCTTCGCCTAACTCAAGTTTCCAAATGTGTATAATATCCCAACCCCTGGATTCTATATATCTTAATAGTAAACATAGCATGACATGAAATTTAAAGACACTCCATCAAGAAGCTATATGTTAATTAATCTCATAATGTAACATCTTGAGAAATATAAGTGACGAGAATGTAAACTAATTCAGGTTCCACGTAGTTTTTAATAGAGTAGGAACTTAAAAATCCTGACAAATTTGATAGAAATGATTTTATAAGTACCCTAACTACAAAATAAAATTATGAGCTCATACGAATATACGATAGTGATTTATGTAAAACAAAACCTGATTCCAGAAACAACTGCAAACATCTGAGGAAAACCCTATAACAGCAAAGCAGGCATACTAATATACTATTATTAAATGACATCCAATTATATCTTTTCTTTTCGAAATGGTAACCCATTCTAAGCACAATGTTATGGTATGTAAGCTAAATTGATCACTCCAAGATTCCAAGTGGCAAGAACCTGGAGGGTGGAGCCATCCAACTAACTAGAAACAATAGAGTCATTAGTTCTCATTCATAGCAACATAGCAGACCTTCACAGCTAGTCAGTCTCAACAACTTAAGAATGAAGCTCAAGTACAACCCTAAAACTTTGCATGATAAAGCTAATAACCCAAAAGGAAATGAAACCTGCTTCGGAAGCTCAGGTGCACTACTGTATGTGAAGACTTGCTACTCCCCAAATTACATTAACAAATACATACGTCGAGCAAGAGTAATACTTGACTAATCAACCAATCAAGAGTGTTAATTGTTCGATACGCCAACAAGAGGGTAATCCAAACAAGGTTTCTAGCTATCTTCTACTTGCATTGCAATACCCCTAAATACAACTTTTTCTCCAATCAACTATCTTCATATACAAGCAACATTATAGAGAAAGTGAATATACCTTTAGACTCGGATTTCTGCTCATCCGTTTTCGGTATTTCCTTCTTATCCTTAGGATAAAAGTTTTCATAGTCTGAAAACATTCAATTCAACAAGAAGATTAAAACTAGACTTCATAAACTAGAAAATAATCAGAACTTCCGAAATTAACCAAAACAAAAAAAAACTTACTCTTTTTCTTAGGGGCTTCACTTGAGAAAAACCTACAAAGTCTAGGATTTGCAAGCATATATTTAATATCAGATAAATAATCTTTATTTTGAGCTCCAATTGAAGCCAAATAACTCCTCAGAAACCCTAAATTAGAATCAAATCGATTTACAGAGGAATTAACATATGGAATTCTTAATACACTTTCATCAAGAATCGCTGGCCTCCCTTTGTAGCATCCATTGATAAGATTCTGCAATCAAACCAACAACAAAAAAAATCCCAAATCAATTCCCTTCTAAAACCCACTTTTTTCAGCAAATTAATAGTAAAAAATCATTGAAAAAAAAGAAAAATCGATACCCTTGATCGAGAAGAACGAGAAAAGGAACGACCCAACTTAGAAAATATCATAATTATTGTTTTCTGTTCTTGTTTTTTTGGATTGGGTTTGATATTTTGGGAGATACCCAGATGAAAAAAATAAACAGATCTGATGAAAAAAAAAAAGGTGAGAAATGTCAATTTGGTTGAAAAGAAGGAAGAAAGTATAGAAATTAATGGGTGAAGGATATTAATACAGAAAGGCCTGAAATTTCATGAAATCATGGCCATGGAGATTTTTATTTTAAAGACGAATAGGGTTTCATAACTTCGGTAGTTCTACGCTTAAGAAGAGAATTGAGGTTTTTTATTATTTTATTTTTATTTTTATTTTTATTTTTTATTTTTTTTAATAGAATTTTTGGGTTTGAGATTTCTTTTAATGATTTTTACGTAGTAAATAATTTGATTAAGGACTTCGGTTTTCATTTTGACAAACTTTTAAAAACATGCGGTTTACAATAAACTCACTGTAAATCGGCCCATATTAAGCAAATGTAGATGTCTGAGTTTGGGCTGACAAATGTGAGTAATAATACATCAGCTTATTTTTTTACTCGATGTTTTGGAAACATTTCCATTTTCTCTCTCCTTTCTTTCTCTCTCATCCCCCTCCCAAAATTAACCTCTTACTTCTCTTTCTTTATTTTCCCACTTTCAAAAACTCTCTCTCCTGAATTTTTTCTCTTTCCTCTCCATTCTTGAACTATTGCATTCTTCGTCTTCCATTTGCAATATCATCTTGATTTCCAACTTTAAATTTGTTATTTCAACTTTTTGTGTTTTTCTAAAACCAAATTTGATATTTGTTACTTTGTTCATCTATTATTTTATTTTATTTTCAATTAATGTTTTGTTTATTCATGTTAATCTTATGAAGAAGACAACTGCTCTTACTATTCAAAGTTTTAAACGAAAGAATAGAAGTTGTATTTTCTAAATTTGTAATGTAATTTTTTATTTTTATATTACATTGTCGATTTTTCTACATTTTTATGTGTAAACTTTTCTTATATTATGGGTTACTTTTGCAAGATTATGGCCTTATAGGTAATTTATGTGATTTTAAGAGTAACTTTTGTGAGTATAACAATAAATTTTGGGTAACTTTTGTAATTTAAAAAGGTAACTTTTGTAATTTTAGAGGTAACTTTATATGTATTACACTATAATGGGGTGACTCTTATAATGTTTAGGGTAATTTTATATGTATAATGGGGTAACTTTATATATACAAAGAGGTAACTTTGTATTTATTATGGAGTAACTTTCTCTGTCCTTTGAGTCCTCCCTGCTTTCTCACTCTCTCTCCTCCAAATTCCATTGAAGCAGCAGGAGAAAGAAGAACAAATCACATTAGTACATTACAGAGCATGATAATTTCAAGCAATTTCTCATTTTCTATTTATTCAATATTATTTTTGTGTGAATTTAAGTGAATGGTTGTCAGTTTTTAGTAATTTCTCACTCTGTCTCCTCCATGTTTCTCCATTGGAATTTTGCTCCATCTGAATATTGATGCTCATCTGTAATTAGTTTTTAGGGGTACCTGATAAAAATTGGGGTTGGTATTGTTCTATCTTTGTGTAGCATATTTGATAAGTTTTGTTTTTCCTTTTCTTTTTTAGGAGGAATTAGCTTGTTACCTTATCTTAGAGTGGCACGTGAGGGGATCCGATGTACAATAATAATACTGTACACCCGGGGCACGCAAAAGATTTTGTTTCATTTAGCCATACACTCATACTAGACATTAGTTAAACAAAGACATATATTAATTGGCGTGATTGACTAAACGTTTGATCAGACCGTCTGACAAGAGACCAACTATATCTAGTTAATGAAACATTAAAGAGGGAAAAAGAATTAAGGAGTAATCCACTAAAGGTCAATATGTGCTTTGTATCTGATCCAAAATATGCATTTTTGGATGTTATTTTACGCAATCAATTAACTTGATGGGAAAATTGGAAAATCGCGAGTATATGGCCCTTTGAAGTACTTAATTTTAACTCTAGATATGTTACTACTTATATTTAAATAATTTGGATATTGAGCTAAAGATGTGCAATTTTAAAATGACCAAAGTTGCTTGTGCATTTATGCTGATATACTTATCAACATTGTTATGCCAATGTTTGATAAGAAGTGCCTTTTTTGGAACTTAGGTTGTTAATCAGTTGTGAATATGTAGTGAGAATAATCCTTTGCTTGTACACAATAATGAATGAACAATAGGTTTTGTGCATTACAAACAATAAAATAGTTAGCCTCTCCTCTCTCTCATACCCTCTAGTAGAGCTGGGCACGGGTCGGGGTGGCCCACATGTCGCCCGGTACGGCCCGCCCCTCGACGGGGCACGGCACGGCCCAGGCGGTGGCCCGCCGGCATGCCGTGGGCCATGCCACGGACAGGAGCTGCACTTTTCGGCACGAGCCCGCCCCTTGGCCCGCCGTGCCAGCACGCCCTAAATATATATATATATATATATATATATATATATATATATATATATTTATATAGTGTAAACATTAATAAAATAAAAAAATAAAAAAAATCTGGAAACTGCCCAGCCCGCACCTAGCCCGCCAGGCCAGCACGCAGGCCGGCACGTGGCAGGCATGACACGAGCCCGCCAGGCACGAGGGTCGTGCCAGGCCGTGGGCTGGCCTGTGAAAATGGCCGGCACGGCACGGCACGAGGTTTTGGGCACGGTGGCACAACCGGCACGGCACGCCGTTGACCATGGCCCGCCAGGCACGGCCCGCGGAGGCCCGACACGGCACGATGCCCACTTTTACCCTCTAGCCTCCATTGTTAATTTTGAAAGGGCTTCCATCGGATTTCACCGGTGGAAAGCCCCAATCTTTGTTTCTTTTACGTTTTTTTTGTTGTTTCTTAGATTATAATAATGTCTCCCTCGAAATAAAGGGTTTATCTTCTTCGAAAGACATGGTTTTTTCGATCTCATTCGAAAGACAAGGTTTTTCGAACTCCTTCGAACTACAAGGTTTTATTTGTGCTTAATATGGTCTCTAGTTGTGCGAGGCTACAATTGATTATTGTCCGAATTCGGGATACGGAATCAACACAACAATTTTCTCTCTCACAATCAAATTATGAAGCGGCGATGGATCCACTCAAAAAGTTGTATGAGACAACGAATCGAGAATGTGCCGAATTGTTACATCTATGTATTTGGATTCTTAGCACTTCCCCGGTTAATTCTTGTTTGATTTTGTTAAATTTGTTTTCATTATCGTTAATTGTCAATTGTAGATGTCGTATGACTTTCATTAACGAAAATTAATGTCCTTTGAGACTTCTTTCAAAAAAAAAACAAAAAAAAAACAATAAAATAGTTACAAAAAATTAAATATATAATTCATTAATTATGAATATACTCCAAATTTTCTATGTATGAAATCTTAGAAATATATTCATTTAATCATTTTCATTGCCAAGGTAATATGTTTGTAGTATGCAAAGTATATATTTTATAAGATTTTATGAACAGTATGTACAACTGTACAAATTTGAAATTTAGAATACTGTATTGATTTTTTTTTTTTTTTTTTAAATTTTTATTTTGAAGGAATATTGTATTAATTGTTAGTCTGTCACGACTCAGTGTATTGTAAAATCTTATATAAGATGTAATTTTCACCATTATAATAAATTTACATCAACTATATACTTCTTCCATATTTTTTAATCGTAACCTTGAGGTTTTCATGTTTACCGATGCACATTTCATATCATTTATTATACATTAATAAAGTTATAAGAATTAATATTGAAAATATATTAATCAAGACGAATATAACAAGATCTCACGTGACTAATAAATCTCAAAAGCATGTTGTGTGAATATATTGCAAAATATCGAATTAAAAAAATGGTAGAAGTACATCATACTTCGTGTATAACTCTGTAGATACAATAATACATGCAATGACCCATTCAAATCACATCCCAAAAGTTGTGCAATTAAGAAAGTGTAAAATTTTGATCAGGCAATTGTGGAATAGTGATTAATTGATTATGTACTTGGTTTAGCTAGTAATTTAAAAATAGATAAGCAAATAATAATATTTCTTTCTTGTCAAAAAAATAATATTTCTTGATGCCCAAGCCAAGCCAGCAGGCTAATTGACATGACGTGGCCCGTTTTAATGCTTCCTTTGAAATAAGATATTTGAACATCCAAATTATAGAAATAAATGTTGTCATTAAGAAAAGGGGAAAAAAAAAATGTGAAAGTGAGGGATAGCTCAAGGTGGTTAGAGCTCCCCTTCCAGTTTTAAGTGATCCTGAAATCGATTCTTATCATTCGTCCTTGTGGCTCGCTAAACACCAAAGAAGAAGGAAAAAAAATAAAAAAAATAATCATGTACACCAAAGACACATTTTTTGTGCACTTCACAACTTCGCTAATCAATTATAAAGAAATCATGCCAATTTACAACTCTACTTACCCATGGAGTGCTTCATGTCAAACCTTACACCACCTATTGCATAATAAATTATCTCACCTTACATATTAAACAAAAATTTGTTATAATCAATATTACTAACCTTCCATCAGTAACGATTAATTAAATTAGTAGAGGTCAATAATATTAAATAATAAATACAATATCAACTTTAAATTATCACTATTTAGGCCTTGTTTCCTTCAACTTATTATAAGTAAAAATAATTTCAATTCTGTTAAATAAGTTAAGCTTAACAAAGTATAAGTTTAGTTCCCTCTAAAAAAAAAAGGTATAAGTTTAGTTTAGTAATAATAAATATTAATTGAGCAAAAACAACACTACTTAGTTTTTAGAAAGAAACCAAAAAAAAAAAAAAGGAAAAACTACTCAAGGGAGTTTATTAGTTTGGGCTAGACAACCTGCGAGAAGAATCTGGGCTTGTTCATTAGTCCATGGACAGAAGCCATATTTCAGCAAACTTTTGCTTTTAGATGAGATGAGATCCAAAAAACAAACCTTTTCTCTCATGTCCATCGTTTTTCTGTCTTTCTCTCTCCTTCTTCCTCAGTGCGATTGCCACTGAACTTGTACTCACACTGGTAAAGATCATCACTTTACTAAATATCCTTCAATGGGCACTCCATCAGCTGCCCTGTACTCTACTAAATACCCTCTCACTTTCCAATTTAGCAGCAAAATTTCAGCTAGGCATTTCAACAAACACCTGGTGTGCCGAAGACAATCCGCAGTATCCTTCCCCAGTAGCGCGGTAAATTTGTCTAATTTCTCTGCTTTTTCGTTAAATTCAGCTAATTTTAGGCGTGCCCATGTACTTCAACCTATTCAATGTGCTTATGCTGAGAACCCCAGTTCAAATTTTCAGCCCCAGGTGATTTTACAAAATCTTAGGAACTTGTCTTTTGATTCTGTTAAAGGGGGGTTGTCTGAATTGACTCCAATTGGTGCTTGTAAATGGGTTGGGATTGCTGCAGTTGCTATTGCAGCGGTGAAGTGGGCATTTAATTTTGTATTCAACCCTTTTATTTGGATGTACTTTAGTTGGTCATGGTTATTTTGGCCATGGCTTGTGGCAATTGGGCTTGGGGTATATGGTATTTATAGTTTCCGAAAGCATTGTCGTGGTGAAGCTAGTATTGTTGAGCAACTTGCCATTGTTACTTCTACATTCACTTGGCTTACACTAGTTCCACCAGCATTTTTCAATGGGTTCTTAGAAGGATGGCCATTTGTGTTCTTCTTGGTTTATCACTATTTCTTCTTTCTCAATGTGAGCATTCGGAAGCGGCTTTATGGGGATTATTTTCTTAGGTCATATGATCCCAAGTGGGATGTGAATGTTCCTAGTTTGTACCGGGGTTTGTTCAGTGTAGGAGTTATGATTGGACATTGGCTTGCAGCATTCGAGGGGCCAGAATTGCATCTTATTCCGGGGGGATGGAGCAACATTGGGATATGGGGTCTCATAATGGCTACGGTTTTCATGCATTACCATGCCTCATTGTACCTGGCAAAGTACTCGGAGAAGATTGTAGAGCCGACTTCAGTTGTTCAATTTGGGCCATATAGATGGGTTCGTCATCCTATTTATGCATCCACGATGCTTTTATTCCTCACATATTTTGTGTCACTCCGGGCTCCACTGAGTTGCCTTTACACAATTGGCGTTTGTATATTGTATTATGATCAGAAAGCAAAGTTGGAGGAAGCATTGATGATAGACGCATTCAGAGAGAGCTATCTTGAGTACATGAGCAAAGTTAGGTACAAATTTATTCCTTTTGTTTACTAGATACGGAATATGATTCAGTACAAGTATTAGGTGTTTGTGATAATTGATAGATGCAATGGAATATGAACAATTACAGCATTTCCTCAATACTCACTTACTTCTATGGTTATTGATTTGATGTTTTGTGGATCTAGTTAATCAGTCCCATCTTTTCTATTCATCATATTCAGCTAGACTTGTATAATATCATCTTCCCTTTCATTTCATTGTTTATCTGATTGAGAGAAACATGGATTTCTATATTTGTTTGCAATGATTAGTATCTTAATCTGCTTGTTACTGCAAATGTCCTGCAAAATGTTTTACGACTATGAAAAGATTAACTTCTCTCAAGTTGCAAGAGTTTTATGTTAATTGAAAATTATTAAAGTGTAGGGTCTATATTATGTACCAGTACATGCTGTACTTGTAATCTACTGATTATAGTTATTCACTGTTCTTCCAGAGTCTAGATTGCATTAGCTTTGTCCAAATAGTTTATTCTCATAAATTTTTGATTGGGGCCGTTGGGGGTATTGGAACAGAGTTCTCGAGTCAAAGGTCAATTTGCAAACATACCTTATACTGATGCGATAATTTACAATTTTTGTATTTCAAATTCTGCAGTAAGAGATGTCGTATACACCAATACACCAATTCATACTAAGCCTTTTACCACTAGGGTCCTCATCTTAGCTTTTAGGCAATGCTAAGAGGAATCCTTGCTTTTCCCTTACAACTGCCTTTTTCATTCTTATGCCTCCTCTTCATCTCAGGATACTTGGGCTGATTGCAATTAGACAGGCTTTTGGTGACTGTCTTGATTGTTGATTCCATATGATTATGGTTTTGCTTATATCCTATTCATCATATTATTGCTGTAACATTTTTGTTGCCCTGACACCCCCCCCTCCCCAAACAAAAATACTTTTGAACATTGATAAGCTCTAGGCTTCCCTACAGGCTGCAATCATCAATGCATATTTCCTTGACCTGTTAAATCATTTATGTTGGGGGTTCACGTCACTAGATCTCAAGTGCTCACACAAACACACACACATGAATATTTAGTGGACAGAACTATGTATGGAAGACAAAAAACCTAATACAATTACTAACGAGTGAACAGGATTCAATTTATCAATTTCTTGTGTTATATTGATAAATTGAGGGAAGATGGTTCATTGGCCTATTAGAAGATTATTACTTTTTACTTATTGCAAAAAATCAAAGAGATCCATGTTCTTTTCTTGTGCACCTTTGTGATAGTTTGATGAACCTTTCAAGAAGGATGGACTAAATTGAAGTTTCTCTATCTTGTCCATTTTTTATGAGTCTAGTGATTTATTTGTTTGATTGTTTTTATTGCTCTATAATCCGTACAACTTACAACAAAAATGAGAAAAACTCCATGGTTCTAAATGGCTATTCCATTACTACTATTGACTCTAAAACATTGGGCCAACATTGAAACTAATGCTCCTTAACAATTACCTCTTCTGATTACTCAATAAATTTGAACGTCCTCGATCTTATCCTCATTCAACGCAAGTTTAATTGTAAGCCATAAAACTCACAAAAGTCAATGACAAAGTTCTACTCAGAATAAATAGCACAATTCACATTAGAAATTTAATGGTGTAACATTTCATAGGAATAGTAGAGTGGTACAGAATGATCGGGGAAAATTTCACATTAGAATAAAAAAATTCCTCAAGTCTAGAACTTATGTCCTTAAGAATGCACACATCATCTCTAATTTTCTTCGATTTAACCTCATCAGCAGATCCTTTTTTCCCAATGAAGTCGTGTGATCATATCTGACTATAAGAAAAAGTCTGTCAGTTAAAGCACTATGAACCATCTTAATGGTAATCAGTAAAGTTCTTAAGCTTAATATGACATTTTAATATCCTTCTTTGTGCCTCAATAGTCAATTGAGGAAATGTATCATTGTGAGATGCACACATGATGCAATATTTAAGAAAATTAAGACAAGTTAAACCCTATAATACTAATGCAATGCAGCATGAGACTCAAAATTATATTAGTTTCTAACATTAACCATTCCATATACTATGAGTTATATTGAACTAATATACTAACCACCTGACATGAAATCTAAAATTAGTTAAGTACATATGAACATTTAATCATTCAAAATCTGAAAGCCAATCTGCTGAAAGCCTGAAACATCCAAATTAAGTCTCTTAACTTCAGTTTCAGCCTTCCAGGTCTCAGCTGCGTGTTCAGCAATATTGTTTCTTGTATGTTGCCACAAATTAGTTTGGTGTGTGTCTATCTCTTGAGCATCTTTAAAATCTATTAGGGTCAATACTTTGATTTGTTGATGAAAAAGGAATAGATGTAGGTTGAGGTTGACGTCCAAGCTTCGGTTGTTAAACTTTATTAAATGGTTTTGCTGGTGTCTGATGAGAAAGTATCAAGACTGGGTCCATAAATTCAAAAGTTTTGCAATGAGGATTAGGGGAGTCAAAGTTACATAAAAATAAATAAATAAATAAAAAGTTGACAAACCATTACAAAGTTTATGATTAGGTGCTCTTAATGAAAACCAATCAATTGAGGTGAGCAGTGATCTGAAAATCATCAATTAATGTTATTATTTGGGATTGTAAAGCTAAGCACGTGATCAGTGTTCATTTTCAATGTACTGTTGATACTTGATAGACTCTTCCCTTGCAACAGTTGGTGATGGATATCTATGGATCCTGTGAAGATATCATGTTGATGTTGGCCTTTGTATTCTTTAACTGTTGTCCATATTCTGGATTGTCATATTGAAGTGATACAAGAGGCTGTTGCCAAATCAATCCAAATTAAATCAAGTCTTTTTCCATTAGTTGTGGGCTTCATTGACCTCTAAATTGCCATTGGACTCCCTAATGTTTAACATCCTCCAAATCTCACCCTCAATAACTTGTATAACTGTTAAGAGTGTCGAATCCACATAAGAGGGAGCCCATAAACCTTTTTCTCCTAGAAGTCAATTACTTTCACATGTCACTCCTTTAACCAGCCTCTAGACCAGCTATGCTCAGAAATAATCAGTCATGGGGAATCCATGAGGTCAAGCAATGCAGCCTTTTTCTTTATTTTTTGGGTGGGGGGATGATCTGGAAAAAGGCAGTGATCCATCTCCAATGTGCTAACAACTCTGAATTACAATCACCCCATAACTTTCTGACTGTGTAACATATGCAGAGTTTTTGGCTCATGAGCTATCACTTTATCTCAATTTATTCATCAATCTATCAATTTGTCTTGAATTTGGCACAAGCAGCCTGAATTCATGACACTAAAATGATTTAGCATGGCAACTTTTCCTTGGGTGTAAGAAAGATAAACTTCTTTTTATATAGAATTTTCTCCCATAAAAATTAAAACTTCAGTATCAAAATCTGTCTTACAGCCCATTTCAGTAATAAGTGATTATATATGATTTGTGGGCAGCAGCTGGACCTTCTGTGTTTGGCAGGATTTTCAAGACTTAAAATTATTCTCTTTTTGCTGTTATAGCTTGAAAGAATTGTCTGGCCTTCTTTCTTGTTTGTGAAACAGGAAGCTGTAATACATAAGGTTGTTTTTCTTGCTTGCATAATAGGGCTTTGGTTCTGATGTAGTGCCAATCTGTTAAGGCCAATCTGTTTAGGTCTTTTTTCTTCTGTTACCGGTCAGAGAAAGTGGCCAATGATTCTTAAACATGTTAAAAGAGACGATACTACTGAGCCTTTGCAAGGATGAGAAAACTCATGAAAAGGTTTATGAACACTTTTACGATTGTTAGTGTGTACAGTAAGGTTCCCCCTTCCCAATAATTTTGTTAGAACTTACACTGTGGTGTAGATGAAGTGAGAAAGACATTTTGTTGTTTCATCAGATATTTGTCATTCATTACTTGTGATCCCCTTTTTCTTTAGACGTGTCTTTTACATTTTCCATACTTTGGGAGACGGAAACAGACGATTCCAAACTTCCTATCATCTTGCCATTGTAAGAACAAAGATTCTTTTTAGCAAAATTAAGGTGCACTAATTAATTGTGGCAAGCTTTGGCACATTGATAGACGTTTGTCCATACCATTGTGGATGGAGACCAGAGATTCCAGCCTGGAATCAACATTTTGCTATGCTTGGTGGGCGATTTGCTTATAGTTAGGTGCTCTCTGATAATGAAATGTGGGGGCAGCTTTCAGGTTTGTATTTGTCCTGCATCTTTGTGGCTACCACTGGTCTTAAATTTGGTTTCCGCTGCATTCTGATATATATGCATTTATGTGAGTGTATATATGTATACATCATTCACAAACAAACAAGAAGTTTTGTCTTGATTTCCAAAGGGACTGTGTTTGGTTATGTGCCTATGTGGTTATTAAGCTAGAAGTTTTCTGGATCTGAAAAATCTTATTTGCAATTCAACTGCATTGCAATCTTTAGATAAGAAGGTTCTCCTGTTGGATAACTGCATCTACCGTTATATTATAGCGGACAACTTGTGTGTTATCAATGACAACTCATTGATGCTATCTTAGCTGAGGTAAGCAGGAGTACGGAGTTATTCTGAAAGTGACTTTTTAGTATCTATGCATATTATGGTCACTGTACGACCTTTTGCTGCAGCTCTCTGAAATTCGTGTTGTCGCTGCTGTTCATGTCGATTATAGGAACATAGATCATAAATTAGTTATGAGTTGCTTTTTTCATATAAGCTTACAAAAAGGTTTTGTCAAACCATTGTATAATTGGGTGAGAATTTATGCTAAACAAGCAACTTATAAGCTGCCAAATCTCTTATGGTATGTTGGCTTATAGTAATGTGATAATTAGAGCAATGATAACTACTTCACCTTGACTGTAAAGAGTGGAGGGTCACTATCTTTTTACTGACAGTTCAAGGATGACTAACCATCCTAGAGTGGCTCGAGCTTTTCATTTTAGAATTGTTACTGAAACTGCTTGCTGACCTGGGAACTGGATGTATGTCACATTGTTTCGTTGTATATGAAATAGACATATAGATATTAACTTAGTAGGAATGTTTTTCTGGAATGCACTGTATTTCACTGATTGATGAAATAATCAGTCGGCAGACAGACTGTAGATGTACTGTGAATCTGATATAACTACTTGTTTTAGCTTGGCTATTACTTTTGATGTGCCATGAAACACTGAAGTTGTTTCGGCTGGGATGCAGCGGTGACATAACTGTTTGCAATTCTTTTATTTGAACTTATTAGTCCAAATCTAAACTTATGTGTTTGTTATTCTTCATTATCTGAACTTATTAGCACGTAACAAGAACTATGTGAACTTATTTTGCCTGATATCAAGTTATTGATGTCACGGAAGCAAGAAGATGGGAAATAGAGCTGACATACGAACGAAGACACTCAATCCTACACTGTACTCCACTGCTCCACACAACTTGATCCCAATATAAACCTTATTTGTAAAAATGCTGAAGTTGTGGAGCTATCTGAATTGACCATTTAGACTTAAAATTGGAGGAATTTTGTGCAAAGATTCCATTCACATTAGGAGAAGCATTGTCATCCGCCATATTACATCTTGTTTTTATATGGTATGGTTTTAATGTTTTATGCTTTATAATAGACAATTTGCAAAACTCCAAAAGCCTAGTTTTTGCAGGATCAGGTACTTGAGGAAACAGATTATCTTCGACACAGTGCATTCCTACAATTACACAGTATCCGCATCTTTTTTTTTTGGAATAAAAAATTATATATTTTTTTAAAAAATGATTCAACACTATTTTATGGATAGTCAAGATAAGAATATACTACGTAGTAATTTTATGGATAGTTCCTGTTTAAGAATATCCAATTGTATTTCTGTCGAGAGTCTTGAGAGTATCCATTTTTAACTACTTCCATAGTTCTATGTCTTATATGTCACATTTGGCATTTTTTTATTAGGTCTGTCTTGAAAGAAGATAGACCTAATTGTATTTGTGTATTTCTCTTTCTAAAAAACAAATGCATTTTAATTAGGTGTACTCAAGATTATATACACGTAAAATGTGATTTTTTGGGGGGATATGAAATTATCGTCAAATTGTTAATGCGATGCAAGTTTACTTGATAATGTTTTGTTGACACACTATGCTCTCCATTGTTGTGGCTAAATATAGATAGATAAGGAGTTATTCGTGTATTTTTTTATTCTACAAATTTTTATATGTGTATGTGGCCAATCATTATAGGGGTTATTTTGTTAGTGTAATAGGGGGTTACTTGGTCAGTGTTAATGGGGTTACATCGTCAGTGTTAATAGGGTTACTCGGTTAGAAGTTACTTGGTCAGTTTTATAAGGGTTACATGGTCGGTTTTATAAGGGTTATTTTGTTCTTTTATAAGTGGCCACACGGTGTGGCTAATCACACATAAGACAGGCTGTTTTTATTCATCTAATTTTCACTTATTGAATTAATACAAACTTATTTCAAACTTATTAGTTCTTATTCAATTTTAAGATAAATATACTTGGGTACTTATAGGCGTTGTAGCGCTTTTTTTTTTTTTTTTTTTTTTTGAATGGGCGTTGTAGCTTTATTTAACCATTATCATAACTTTATTGATTTGAACTTATTATTCTTTATCTGTTATCCAACATATATTTCATATCAGAAACTACAGTAATGAACAAGGATCCTTTATAAGTTGGGCCCTTGGCAATATGACTTCACAGACTTCTGAGGCTGCTGTCCCATGGGTCACATGCACATTTCTCATGGGTTTCAAAATTGAAATATCCAATTCCAAATTGTGCTTAATTTTCACCAACGTGGCAATCTTAGGTGCACTACCAAATTTGAAGATAATGTTACATTATTTTTTAAGGATTAAATAGAAATAAAAATATTTGACTTTGTGCACAATAAAGTATATTTGTAATATAAACCAAAATTGAAAACCATAAAATAAAGATGGCTAATTTATTTGCAATCTTTTAAAGGCCACAAAGAATTTCAGCCCAAAAACTGAAATCATCTTTAATTTCTCAACCTTTTGGATTTCATTTTGCCTCTTCACAAACTTACATTATTACTTACATTAACCACCATCTTAATGATAGTGATACTACTACTAATCTCAGTGGAGGATACAGAATTGGGCCCTCCCCCTAAAAATTAATAAAAAAAATGTTATAGCTAGGATTTGCTCCAATTTTATTTCATTCACTTTCGTGGGTGCACCATTATGGGAAAACCATGCTTCGGGACAGGAAACGGTCCATATTGTATTCCATCTTCGTCTCCTATAGCTTTCCACCTGAAATAACATATCGTAACCACATTCAATTTATAATGTTTTTGAAATATGATAGTGTAAATGCATAAAGATGTGGTAACAGTAATGCACACATTGCATCTAAATGCACCCGTACACACATGTAGTGCACGTACTATATTATATTTATATATACACAATGCGTGTACCATTGTAGTTTATATCAACTAGGGTTATTTTCATTATGTAAGATTTGATGTGGAGAGTTTAGTTGATCATGTATGAGATCTGATAGATATTAAGCCTTAACAGCTGGCAATGAAGTAGTTTGATAGCCATTTGATTGGTATAATTTCATCACTAGCTGGCAAATAACATATCTCTGACTAATAGGCTCATCCTAGTAGGATAAATAATCATTGGTAGATACTAATATCGTTTACAAGTCAAATAGGACCCAAACCCTCAGAATTATTCTGTGATTTTTGTCAAAACATTTAATTTGCTTTGATGTGGATATAAAATATGCTCTTCTAGTGTTTTTAAACCGTTGGTTTATCTATAATTTGCTAGTAGAATAATTTATTTATTTTGTTATGAAATGAAATCAAGTATATACGTAGTATATGAATTATGTCCTTACTTGTATGTGTGTTGATATGCAAGTTTGAACTACCTAAGAAAGAAATCATGTGCACTCTCACTCACTGTTGGTTGTGTTTTGACTTTTGATATTGATACATATTATTGATGCTTCATTTTCATATATCTTCACAAGTTTATGTTTTATGTGTGTATATAAGTTAACAAGTACTTCTTATTGAGAAAAAAATGATGTATAACTAACTTTCATGAAAAATTGGCTGCAAATTAAGCAACATCCATAAACCCTTTGATTGTATCATTGTAAATGATCACGTAACAAACTGATTGACACATCACTATTAGGTTGGTAGTTTCTTTGACTATTCTGATAAATTTGATTCCGAATAATAAACAAAACGACTATTTGTATATCAACTTATATGAGGCTAAATTTAGTGGGATCTTATTCGGTACCATCACTAAATCATGTTATCTCAATGTTAAGGACCTTTCAACCCCAAAACTATAATGATATGACTACCCTAGCTTCTGAATAAGTACCATTACATTATTGAGGACCATATCTTAGGACCACTAAATACAATTTCAATTGAGCCTCAAAATTCTTAAGTACAATTATATCTTAAAACATAAAAGGTCAAAATATTGCAAATTCAATTGAGTGTTTGACCCCATATAACTCCACAATGCATGACATTCACGTGATTAGATTCATTACATAGTAGACTAGCTAAGCCCAAGTATTAGTGTACTACTCTCCTCTTCCAAAAATTTAGGTCACATTCTTAAATAGGGGATTGGTGGGCCAGGATCAGGCCCACTGGGCCACAAAGTGTAGGTTACATGGACCATCTCCAAAGCTTAAGGAAACCATAAGGTTGTGGTCCAATTTTGGTCCCAAAGTCTGTACAGCCCACTCACTCTAGCTTGATTATTGTAATTTCTTTTGCCTTTTTCGTTTTTTTTTTTTTTTTTTTTTTACCCAATTATTGGTACTTTACTCCACAAAAAGGACCATGACACTCACTCACCTTCATGGCCTCGTCACTTCTTTAATCTTTCCTTGCGCTTGCCTCTTAGGTGAATAACACAAGATCCATGTTGCCAAAATATCCCGTAGAGAGACTTGACTCGTATATTAAAGTAATTTTCGATACATCCAAAGACGTTTTGAATGTTCCATATATAATTGAATAGGGAATATGATATTGATCTCAAATTTAGGTTTCTTTTGGAAGGTAAGGAAAAATATAAACATTAAACTACATGTTACAAGTGGATTTAAAATCTAGAATAACTTTCATAAACTTATCTTGAATATTTTATGGAGTATGACTATACCGTGATATGATGTTAGCAGAATAATAGTGTTATCCTCTCATAATCTCATAAACTATTAAATTAGCATAGCCGAAAACATATATGCTTAAGTAGACAATTTTGAGGAATGCAATGATTTAGAGGGGAAGAGATTGACCTGTAGGTGGTGGTGAGATGGTGCACGAAAATTAGCATTTCAAGCTTGGCTAGCTCACTTCCTGGACAAGAGTGGACTCCATTACCAAATGGCATGTATGTGTTAGGTCTTGGTGGTACCTGCACCATTATTATTTTTTCATAGGTTAGAATAACGAGATCACTCCTGTAAGGGCAGAGTTATGTTCAAAGTTATAAATAAGTACGGGTATATGTGAAATAATAGCGCATTATAATCAAAGTGTGTAGAATAGGATGGAGTTCAAAAGTACTTCATAAACAAAGCTATGAAGCATTGAAGCCTATTAAGGGGGGTACAAACTTGATTTTTTTTTTTTTTTATAAGAAATTCAGGAGATAAATTTATTTAAATTTGACTTGAACCAACTCGAAAAATACTCCAACTTCTACACAACCCAAAACATGGTTGATTTTATACTTGATCTTCATGTATTCCATTATGTAATTATTATACCACAACAAGTTTGATAACGCTATAGCACATACAAAAATTATGCAGAAAAAAAAAATGAAAATTAAAGAATTCCAAGAGAAAGTCACGTGCTTTGATGCTAGTAGTCTAGTAGAGATCTTATAGAGGGTCCCTAATCTTCCAATATTCCAAAGGCCTGAAAACACGAAGATTCATATATTCCACTGATATTGACACTTACCCCAATTAAGTCCCTACCATACATAATCTAGTCATTGCAAACCTTATATTTTCAATCCGCCCAAACATTTCTATTTTTCATTTTTTTTATACTTTCTTTAGTAAATTAAACTATTATGTTTCAAAGATATCAATTATTTATTGTATTTTCTTTATTTTACTAATTCTGATTTCAATTTATACAAACCGAACCATATATAATACTCTGATCGTAGCCAGTCAGCCACTAGTCTCAAGCTAAGTAAAATTCATTTTAAATTAAACATTGTATACATAGAGATTATCAAAGATAGTACAACCAGCCTTCTCATATTTAATTGAAGAAATAAACTTTATATAGTGTAATTTAAATAGCTAGTATCTCGACTAATAAGTAAATAAATACTCTTCTAGCTGGTCATACAATACACATATACGTACGGCCAAAAGACATAAGATATTATTTCAATACAATACAAAAATTAAAATATCTGAGACATAAATTTTGACTAGTAGAGTAAGATTCATTATTAGTGTTGTAATATGTTTACTCATAGCGATTTGACGTCGATCTACTTCATTCTAGAGTCTTTTTCATAGATTTATTTAGATAAACTCGAAATAGGGAGGAAAATTACAAGTACCTCAAATCTTGAAGGGTCAAACTTTTCAGGTTGAGGGAAGAATTCTGCGCAATGGTGAATGCTTCTAAACAAGGGTAACACTTTCCACCCTTTTGGAATCAAATACCCTTCAAACTCAACATCATGGACTGCCTCTCTAAATGTAAATGATAGTATACTTGCTGTTCTCAACGTCTCTTGAATCACCTACGTATAAAACATTATAACTTTTAATTTTCGCGTAAAGATAATTATAAGTGTATTTCGCAATACATTTTTTACCATTAATACCTTAATTATGAAATTTATGATTAAAAAGCAATTAAAACTTGGTATTTAATTTGGAATTTGAAAGTGTATATCAAAATGTACCTAACGAGATTTTACGTGATTTAGTTATTTCTTTTAGTACAAAAATTAATAAAGATGCGCAAATTGTCAAATTTACTTTGTATAACATCATCTAATTACTTAACTAATTAGTTATAAAATGGTATTGAAATGGAAAAGACAAAGAGATGATGAATACCCGGCTAGTCAAAGGCATGTTCCTAGTGTCCTCCCACGTAAGACCACGGTTAGCCTCCTCTATCAAACTTTGTCTAACTCCTTCTTGTTCCTTCTGCAACCCCAAATAAATAAATAAATTACTCCGTAATAAATACATACAACGTACGAAGTATATACAAATATACGTACAAAAATACATTTTTTTTTAATAATATTACACGTATTAGTTAAGGTTTTTTACCCTATCGTTTGTATAACATTTGACAATTTTTTATTTTTTTTTACTGATTTCTCTACTTTTAGTTAATGGTCTAATAATGAACATACCGTATTTCCTTAAATTTACTCCGTAAATTGAAAGAATGACACGAATTATATGACCAGTAAAATATAGATTTGTATAACAAATTAACAATTCAACCTTTAATATGCTAGCTAAGCTATTTGTAAACGTGAATTGTGACGGCTGATGAGATAACTTAAGAATAATTAAATCTCAAAAATTTCTCAACCAAGAAACCCACCAAAAAATCAGGAGCATAATATTTATTTATGACAGTATTGTTATTTTAATACATAGTGAATCTTTTGTTGCTTAGAAATGAACCAAAACAGGCAACTTTCATGGAAATCTAAGAAAAGACAAATCTCAAGTGTTTAAGCACGTAACTACAACAAGTATGGACTAGTTGATACACATGTAACAAACTACAATTTGCCCGTATCTACAATTCAGATTATATCATATGATCCTGAGAATTATTCAAAATAATAAATTAATTATAAGGATCAAATTATAGTATATAATAATAATCTCCGTATCCTCAAAAATTAGATCTATGTTTGTATATATGATACATATACAAAGTCATCTGTTAATGAATCAATTACAAAAATACTCCCGTCATTATTAAATACTCATATCACTTCGTACACAAGTAATTATTATTAGTTGTCTTCCTATATGATGTACGTAAATCATATCATGTCTCATGTTAAATTAGTGTGATAACATTAGATAGAGAATAGAGTAGGATAAAAAAATTACCGTGACAGCTTCGAGAAGATGTTGATTATCATGTAAGTATTTGAGAACCCATGTGAGGACACTAGCAGTAGTATCATGAGCAGCGAAAATGACTCCAATAATATTATCAGCAATTTGTGAATCACTTAATTCATAATTACTTGATGTTTCTTGCTCTCTTGATTTAAGTAACACTCCTAATAATCCTCCATCTATGTTGTTATTCTCCTTTCGTTTTGCAATAAGCTTTCTTAATGTCCCATTTAGAAGCTTCCTTGCCTATAATTGACAATCAAACAATAATTAATTATATTATATAGTCACTAATTAATTGTGTTAATTAAAATGTAAAAAATTAAAGGGGGGTCGGGGGTAAAAGTTAGGTAAAATATGATTTTAAGTAAATATGTCACATATCTTAGTCTTACATAAGAGTCTCGAAATTGATATGGACAAGCGTAAAATAGTTTAGGTAAGAATTATTTTCTTTTCAAGAGAATATGAATAAAAGAAAAAAGGATAATGTGGGGTTGAAAGAAAATGAAATTAACCTTCATAGATTTGTGAAAAGGGGTTCCGGGGAAATTTAGGGGCATAGAATTGTATCCCTTCTCTAAGCATTGATACAAATGCTTGATTCCTTCAACCTCCAACTCTTTTCTGTCACCAAAGGCCGATATTATTGCCACGTCGAATGCATACTGGTCAAAACAATTTACCAACTAAGTTAGTTGATCATGATGAATACGACCAAGGTCAGGTAAGGTAACCATTCTTAGTTCACATATTTATATGAATCTCGAAAATTAAAACAGAACTCGATTATTTAACATAAAGAGGGTAGTTTCATAACATGAACCGACCATATTATGTATACCTTCTTCATCTCAACTAGAGTGTTGATGGAGTTGTTATTCTCCCAAGTAGGAAGAAAGTCGAGGACAATATTTTCAATCTGAGAGACGGCACCCTTAAGAGCACAAGGAAGGAAAGAAGCTTGAACAAGCTTCTTGAGCTTAGAATGGTAGGCTCCTTGGTGGAAAAACAAAGCCTCAGGACCAATCATCTTCTCCTTGCTAGGTGGATATGTTGGCTTAAAAAGATGAGCTTTACTTACTAAAACTATCTTTGCCGCTTCAGGACTTGATATCATAACACATGGACATCCCAATATATGCGTCTTAAATATATCACCATACCTACCCAACACAAAAATACGTAAGTTAGCAAAAAAATAATCTATGAACACAAACCGCGTATATTCCCTGACATGACTGCTGCTCTATCCAGAATTAGCTGTCACATTGACAATGTAATATGATTTGGTTGTGACAATATGACAACTCCCTCTGAACAGATAGGGTCTAATTCATAAATAGAAAGCGAGCATTAGTATATACCTTTTTTTTCTATTAGAGAAGAAGGAGTTGGGATTTTCAGTGTAGAGCTTAAGAGTTTCACCAAGATAAGGCCAACCCATAGACCCAGGGGGTAGTGGTCTTCTATCATTGGGGTATAAAAACCATAGTAATTGGAAAAGAATAACAAGAAATAGGAGAGATAAAAAGAAGAGAAATAGTGAGATCAAGAAAGAAGTAGAAGGAGAAACAACAAGAAGAAGAAGAGGAGAATGAAAGGAAAGGAGAGAAGAGTATTGCATGGTTGTTGTTGTTGGCTTTTGGGGAATAATAAGGGGGGGAAAACAAAGATAGGTGGCAAAATAAGCGAAGGTTTTATTTTGTGTTGTTGAAAATTGTTGTTGTTGTTGTAATTGTGTGGGAATAATGTTAGTTCAAAGTTGAGGTGAAGTGGGGGGCCTTTATATAGAGAGGGAGATAGGTGAGGGCTAATTTTACATGACAAGCGTCACCCTTTCTTTGGCAACACTTTGCTTCTCCCTGTTAGGGCAGTTTTTTTCCCCCTCTCTTACTTCTATTTCTCTATAATTTGTTGATCTTGAGTTCGTTTTCTAGGCCTACCTTAATAATACAACATAATAATATAACACTAGAGTTAGTACTTAGTTACATCATAATTACGCGGTACGTATAGTGGGTCCCTTTACGACTTTTGTAATTATTTATTTTAGAAAGATTCTGATAAGGTATGTTGTAATTTTAAATTTGAATTAGAGACCTGATGTGTGGAAGGCGAAATTTAGAATAATATATAACATTGAATTTATTTGTATAAAAATTAATATGGAAAATGAAAGTGACATTTATTATCTTGAGTTGGTTCCATCCATATATTTCATATTCCTCAATAGTTAAAAATTGTGACATGCATGTTATGAATTGTCATAGTCATCTCTTCTTAAAAGTGTCCATTCACAAATAAGGTTGGATTAGTGACTAGAAAAAATAAAAAGCTATTGTATGAGGATGATTATATAGATTTCTTGCATTTAAGGGACTTAAATATTTTGGTTTTACAGCTTAAGTGTATCTATATGTATATTTTGTGATCATATATAGAATCATTTGTGGTTGTCTTAATATGATCTATTTTTTCAGAGTGCGTGGAATTAAGATTTACCTCAATTTAAATAATGAACGAATTACTATTTATTTACGGAAAAACTATTAATTTATGCGAAAAATCATATAGCGTATTTGTGAATGAAAATTGATTCATTCATCGAGTTACGTTATAGGTTTAGGTTAAGTATATATATATATAAGAAATCTCATGAATTACTACAAACATAATATATAGCTAGATCGAGTTAGATTCTTTTATTGTCAATTTGATTCAAAGTCAATTTTAAGTAGATAATGTTTTTTTTTTTTTTTTTTTTTTTTTTTTTTTTTGCTTGCTTAAATCACATTTTGAATTTGTAATGTTTAGCTTATTTTCACAAAAATACTACGTATATACATTTGAGAAAATTAATCATCTTTGATCAATTATTTATGAAAAAATATTTTACTTTGTAGAAAATTAAATCATAGCACGCAGGACACTGTATATTAACATAATTACATGTACATATATATGCACAAAACCTTATTAAGTCCTTAATTGTAAAACTATATCATTTAGCTATTTAATTAGTGCATGTATATTTTTACGTAAAGGTATATATAATTTATCGGATGTGTTGTCAGTCTTGTCACTGATCAATTGTTTTTATATTGTTAATAAGATATTCCAAACCTTTCATATAAATCGAGACAATGTCATCAAATGACTTTTTATAGATTAGTGGTATACATCTAGCTCGATCGTTAAATAAAGCTTTATAATGATACTTAAATATGTAGTGCGATCCACCTTATTGTATCTATTGCATGTTAAATTTGTAGCCTGCTTACTTATTAATGTACCTTTTAGCTCGTGATGAAGATGATAATTTTGCTCCTATCAATTTACATTATTTTGATATAAACCCCTTTTGTGGAGAGATAGTTACTACTCGTAATTAATTAAAATCACATATATATTTTACTTAAAAAAAAAAAATAATATCTTATTAATAATTTTCTAATATCTTTACAATCAAAGTTTGAATACTTTGACCATATAAATAGTGCACATGGAGAATGAACTTAATAGGATGGCAAAAGTGTAGTGCAAGATTGCATTTTAGTCAAGTTATACTTTGTTGTTTAGGATGAGTTTTGAATACCTAATTTTCACTTATTTAAACTAATTTAAACTTAATTTTTAAATATAAACTAAAATAGGATAATTTTTATGTTTCCTGTCAAACTTAATTTATTTAACTTTATCTTTCCTAAACTTATCTTATAATATATAGTACACTTGTAATATTTTTATCCCTTTATTTGAGCTTAGTTTTTTTGTAAATAAATAGAATAAGATGAACATAATAAATCATAATATAGAATTTTCAATTATATGAAGTATGTTTGTTCATTATATATATATATATTTTTTTTAGAGCGATAAACTGAGTATATTTTGTCTAGTGTGTTACGTATAAAGTCCCTCAAACGAAAGATGACTTAAAAAATCTTATCTTTGTAACTTGAAAGATCGATGAGTCGGCATATTATGGAACGTTGAACGTAATAAGTGGCATCACTCAAAATGTGTTATATGCAAAAGCTTGAGATATTTAACATAGAAAACATCATGTTAGTTGAGTAACGTAGTAATGCCCCAAAAATGGGAGAGTGTAGAAGGTGTGCGTGGGAATTTGAGTTGCTGCTTTGGGAGTTGGGATTTTATTTCTGATATTAATTCCATCTTACTTCTTACTATTTTCAGTTTCTAACCGCCTTACATATTATCCATTTTTCGGACCTTCCAAACAATGAAGAGGCTTCATTTGTAGTTTCATACTTGTCTCCTACACACCCCTATTACTTTGTACTCTGTATTAAATTGTGTCATACGGAGACGATTCTAATGTAGTCTTATGACTTTTGATTACCACAATTTTTTTTAAATGGTCGGCTGAGATTATTTATTTTTGTAATTTATTTTTAATTAGTAATTTTAATTAAAAATAATTTTTTGATTATTTTAAATATATTTTTATCTTCTACAAATTATTTTTTAATATTTTCGAAAATCTGAAAATAAAAAATATAAAATAATTAAAAAGTGATTTTTAATTAAAATAACTAATTAAAAATAAATCAAAAAACAAACAATCTCGTCCATTTTAAAAAATTGTGGTAGTCAAAAGGTATAAGACTACAATAGAATTTTTTTAGTCACACGGAGTAATTTCCACTCGTGAATTATTTATTTGCTTTTCAATTACATTTCGTGATTGATTAATGTTATTTTCATCTAAAATATGATGAGTAGTTATATACAATATGTTTTTTTATTTTGAATTGATTAAATTTTATCTCCATTTTACATTAATGAATTAGAAAATATTATGAGAATCATGTGAAAATTTGTTAGATTTTTCCAATACCTAAAGTGATTTCTTTTGTGCTCTATAATAAGTAAATGAAAAAATTAGTATGATCGTATGGTTAGATTTGCTTCAACAATTACATTTAAAATATTATACGTTGTAAATTTCTTATACAATTAAAGTGAGCAACATTTTCTTAAGTGGTTTCATATTATGGTTTTTATTAGTGATATCACTAACTAGAGATGTAGAGTACATCATGAGGTCATGAAACAACTTTGCCCGTGATCTCATGTCCTAATATCAACATAACATCTCAAAATGTCAGATTCCTTTTCTCTTCTACTCTCCGATAATCAATTTGATTAATTCAGATATTGAATAAAATTCAATTTAATTTTGGATGTTAAATTGAATTCTTCCCTAAATTAAAGTTTTTCCGTACCGTTCAATGTATGTATGTAAAAATGTGGTGTCCAGTGTCCTAGCCCTATTAACAATAAGATGTATATGATTATCTAATCATGCAATAGTGCAATACTCTTATATAAAATGGTGTTTAAATAAAATGTCTCATAAAGTAGAAATAAAAATAGTATGAAAACTCAATGATTGGAATAAGATTGAATATGATTAATGTAGATTAATCAAAACATATGAATAACTTAGTGAGATTTGAACGAAGGGTCCACTCTCAAAGTTCCAAATGCATATTTGCTGGTGTATAACCATGTGACCTTTCTTTTTTGGTGGGTGGCCCAATCACTACTTAATGTATAAGCTGCTTGTGCAAATATTATACGAGTTCAACCTTTGGAACGACATTTTGAGCTAAGCTAGTTACATTAAAATGTGATTTGATTTGTACGAGGAGCCACCTCTCTTCTTAGCTTCATTGAATGCAATGACGTTAGATGCAGCATTTGAATCTTTGATTGCGGTTTAGTTCCTTCATTTTGAACCACACATCGATTTTATTGGGAATGATTGAACTTAATCGCTTACGCCATGAAATACAATAACCGATTTTGAAACAAAAGAATTTCATGTGTTCTAGGAAAAATAGTCCTGTGAGTTTACCATATTCATAATCGAATAATTAAGATTGAGAGACGACAACAAGCTAACATATAAGGATATGACTATATGAGTAAGTCTACTTAGTAAGTCAGATACTCCGCCGACCTAATCCCAATAGAGTTACATGTTTGGTCTTCTCTCCAATCTCCAACGTTTCCTTTTGTGATCAGATTAAAATAAAACCATAAATCAAAATGTGTCATTTTTTAAAGGAATAATTGAGGTCAACACGCATTTAAAACTTATCTAAATTAGGTCAGGATTAGATCTGCAGATTAAGATATAACGATGTGTATAACGACCCTAGGAATTCGATTCTTTGGAACATTCTCTTCCCCTTGCATTGTTGGTAATCTTGGTAAAACACTTGAACTCACTTTCTACATAAGTTCCAAAGTTTGTACAATAACACGTTAACTACATTACCTTACTACAATTGTGATTAAGCGTAGATTTTTATGTACACATGTTTTCCTCTAACTATGGTTTATTTTATAAGCAACTTTCATTCAAAATGATCATGAATAGTTGAGTAAGACACTTTGAATTAAACTTTGCTACTCGTAGTTTATAATATCACTTACATTATTATTTTATAGAAGTATTAAAAAAAATGAAGATGACTGACAAAAGTTACTTAAATTAGTAGCTTTATGCAGCTGCCCGAGAATCTTGACAAACTCTTAATCCAAAGAAGGAAAGCAATGAAACTAAGTGACACGTGGATAAAGAGAATTAAGTCCACGTAAACAAAATGAATCTCTAAGAGATCACCAGATCATAGAAGAAGTATACGTGTAAGCATATAATTGGAAGTTGCATGGTAAAAGAGTGAGGTTTTGATTAATAATAATGGGTAAACTTGTCCTTTGAACACGTTTAAGTGCCTTCCATGTGTGATTCTTAGTTGAGATCATCATTGTTGTTGTGAAAGTACAAGTATTTTATGTACCCCCTAGCTAGGATGTGAACATCGGTCTAGATTTGGATTAGACCGGACCTGAGATGAATTGGACCAATTTACGTGAACCGGC